TAAAATAAAATTAGGCTATTTGGCAGAATAAACTCAGCATTTGTGCCAAGCCATATGCAATTATTAAAAACTTATTATTTAGATTTGTACTCTCTGCCCTTACAAAAACTGGCCATAGTATGATTAAGGTAAATATACAGGAAGTATAAACTTTGCGAAATTTTAAAATATCTTGATTTTGTACTGACATGATGATAAAGTAATTTTTTTTAATAAATTGTAAGCATTTTCCGGATGCCTATTGCCCGTTGTGTGCCTACAGGAAAGATCGCTGTGAGGAGAAATGGAACCTTTTTAAAGCTGCTAGAAATCGGTGTAACCAGGTGAAACGTAACGCAAACGCCGCCATTTCATTCAAAATTTAGAACCCTCATTTACTTCCAGTGTGTGGAAGTTCCTTGGAACACTAGGCATTGGCAAGCAACAACGCTCCCGACAATTGGTCTAGATTCTAGATGATATAAACCGTCATTTCTCAACTACACCTCAGTTGGATCATCAAACCAAGTGTCAAACCTTGAGCTATATAGCTAGTCTAACCCATCCTGCTATTGAATCCTTTGAGTTTTCGCCGGTATCTTCTGAGGACATCAAAAAGATTATCCTATCCATTCGTTCCAATGCTGTGGGATATGACGGTATCAGCCGTCGCATGATTGTTATTATCCTGGATCACGTTCTTCCAGCAATATATCATATCATAAACTCTTCACGTCAAGTAAAGAGTGCAATCTTTTCTTCACTCTGGCGGAAGGCCTTCATCAGCCCTTTACCCAAAACAACTAACCCCTCTCTACCCGAACTTTCGACCTAGAAATTGGTCCCTGGTTACTTCCCTTTCTTTCTAAAGTGCTAGAGGCCTGTGTACACAAGCAGCTCTCACAGTTTGTGAATCAGCAGAATCTTCTTAGTCCTTTACAATCTGGGTTTGGACCCGGTCACAGCATAACATCCGCGTTCCTCAAAGTGGCGAGATTAGGGAGGGTATGGAGGACACTAAAGTCACAGTGCTGGCTTTGATTGATTTCTCGAATGCCTTTAATACCGTTAATCATGACGTTCTACTTGCCATCCTTTCCTATCTTGTGATCTTCTCAGAAGCTATGGCATGGTTTATCTCCTATCTTCAGGGACGACAACAGAGTGTTCATATGGATGACACGTCTTCGAGTTGGTGTGATCTTCTCACTGGCGTCCCTCAAGGCGGTATAATATTATCTCGCTTATTATTGTCAATATTCATTAATCTCATAACCCAGCACCTTCAGTGTACGTATCACCTGTACGCTTATGACTTACAAGTGTACCCACAGTCAAGGGTTGAGGACATAACATAAGCCATCGACAAAGTCAACAAAGACTTGGACTTTACAAATAGCTGGTCAACGAGGTTTGGTTTGTCGGTAAATTCAACCAAATGTCAAGTGATCATTGTGAGGAGCAGACAAATGATAAGTAGGTTGAATATGGCGGTCATCCCACCAATTGCCTACGACAATGTGACAATACCTTTTAGTGTAGTGGTAAAGAACCGAAGAAGCCGATATATAACCCCAGGGGGTTATATATCGGCTCGACACTTAACTGGCGGGCACGCGTTACACACGTCAGCCAGAACGTCACCACTTGTCTCCGTGCTTTATATGTTTGAAGAACTTCCTTCCCGCTAAAACTAAGGCTACACTTATGCAGTCCTTATTTATTCCCATAATCGACTAAGGTGATGTGTGTTATTTCGACCTGAATGCAGACCTTCTCAATAAACTAGAGCGCCTTCTCCATAACTGCATTGGATTCGTGTTCAATCTTCGCAAGTAAGACCACATGTCTGCTTTTCGTTTCTAGCTGCAATGGCTCTCAATTCGTCAGCGCGGCGCAGTTTGCGAGCACTCACTCCTCTCTTTTCTTTCCTCAACTCTCCATCGTTACCTGAATACCTCGTACCCCAATTCCGTTTCTTATGCTCCAATCACGAAATCTTCAGTCAACAAATAATATGATTCTTCTATGCCACAATCACACCTCCAACTTCATCAACTCCTCCTTCTACGTCCAGTCAGTTCTTCGCTGGGATGCCCCCCCTGCCGAAATCCACAAACCGCCTTGCATTCAAGAGAAAAGTGTGTGATCTTCTTCGGAGTGAATTGGCCGAACAGTCACAAAGCTACCTGAGTACCTGACTGAGTATTTTTATATTTTGTTAAGTTTATGTAGGTTCTTCTATGTATGTTTACTTATGTATGTGTGTTTATATATTGTGTATGTCTCTGGACTTCAATTATGTTAAATTTAATATTTTATTTTGCACCTACCGCATCATATTTCTACATCACCTAAAGGTTGACTGGGAGAGAATGCCTAATGGAATTAAGCCCTCCTTTGTACAACATGTGCATTATGTTTTAAATAAATTTAAATAAAATTATTGTTTATGAATAGGTACCATTTTCTATTAAATAATTGTCACTTCATTGATAATTGTATTGTGTTAAATTATTTATTAAGTACATAATGAATATTTTTAAAGTTTATAATATGCAGGTGACATGATTATGTATGCATATAGGATAAATTTTTATTTATCTTATATGCATACTTACGTATACATATGTGTACAACTATTGTTTTTCTCTCTTAAGTTTCAGAAATGACCTATTTAAAAAAACTCGGCTGGTGAAACACCAAACATAGTGATGATCAGTTCCTTCATCCAATTCCTACTGACTTTTATTTGCTCTCATTAGTAATTGAAGAATGTGTAGTAAGATTAAAATGTTTACATATCTGCCTCCTAATCTCAATTGCTGGTGCTTAATGATTAATTGGTACTAAAGAACTTCCCACAAGACATTTTCAGCTAACTCTCTCAGCTTCAATGAGAATAATGTTGGATTATGTTGATACACATTACATTAATTGGAGGAGGTGAAAAGACTTTCAAACCCAAATAACAAGGCCCTTGCATAGTAAAACAGTAGTCCATGGCTCAGTTTTATTGTGTTTTACTTTTTAAGGAAGAGATTATTTTTAATATTTCATTACAATTGACAATATTTGGCATCTGGCCAAACATTGTCATTGTTGTCATCATACAGCTTATTTTGCATTTGATGTTGAGCCTTTAATTCTTATGTCATAGTAGAGTATTCAGAAAGAACACTCCCAGCACTTACTTCTATTCTTACTTACTTACTAACTTCTACTGTCATGATACCCTTTTGCAGAACAGGTATATTTAATATAAATTCAGTATCTTTAAATATTCCTTTAGTGCATCCTATTGATTCAGGAATTGTTTGAAAAAGGCATGCAAAGCTTCCAGTATTCTTAAAGGTTTTCAAAAACATCAAGGCATAAATATTTCACATACCTAGTTTTTTGCATACTTTCAATCACAGGTCATCTTTAAGTGACCATTGATAAATTATGTCACATGATGAAAAGTGACTTCACATATCAAAATATCAAGTATTAAAATTGTCACTGAAAATTGTTCTATCTTAAGCTTAAGGTAGAAAACTGGATATGATTCTTTCCATTAATACAATTTTTATTTAATAATAGGTTTTAAGTATGTTATTTTTTTATTTTTTGTCATTCTTAATAAAATACGGCAGGTTAAGGAGGTCTCACATATGTGACTTCTTAAGACAGTGATGGGTGCTAAAAAACCATGAAATTTGTTGGAAACTCATAATGGATAGCCACTAATGACAGTTCTACTATGGCACTTCTCTATAAATTAAACAGTGACAAGGTCTTTTTATACCTAATGTTGATGAACATACATAAGGTCACACATAATCTAATAATTTAAATAATATTTTTGGATTAACAAAGCAATGAGTTTTTGATGAATAATAGAAATATCTGCTAAATCTATAATGAGATTATGAAAATTTTAATATAATAACGTCAGATAAAACTTTGCGTTCCATGCATGTGGGTTAAGATTGTTATTAACGACCAATAAAAAAATAAGTTTTAACAAATCTGATACTGCACAGGACTGACATTAAATACCTGTAGTTCGAATTGATATAGATATTACAATGAGTTCATGATATAAAAATTTGATCTAGGCTTAGGACATTTTGATATCATCCACAACATTCAAAATAATACTTAAGAACAACTGTCCCAAACACTAAATGAAAATGGAATTGGCGCCAAGTCCCGTTAATAATATTTGAATAAAGATACTACTAAATGAATGATATAAGTATTTCATTACCTGATCTCTGCATAATGGTAATGCTAATTACTAATTTTCAAACTAAAAACATTTCTTGAATCAACAATTCACACACTCTTCAGCGAACTGTCAACAATCTCACCCGCCCATGGACCGCGTAGAAATTGATTTTTGAATATTGTTGCCAATCCCGAAATATTTTACGCATTAAAACCAAATTGGTTATTCTTTAATTAATATTTACTTTATATCTTTAAATAGACTATGCAAATTTCCTGTAAAGAAAGTGATGATTTAGAATATAAAATAATTTATTAAAATTAATTTTAAAGCCATTTATTTATTTACTCATTAGAATAATTCAACTTCAATTGGTGGTGCAACTCGCCAATGTCATGTATTTTGGCGGAACGTTTATTTTCATTTATTCTTAAATATTATACTTTAAATAATGTTATCGAGTCACAAATATCACGGTTATGTTGTTGAAAATAAACCTAACTTAAAGGTCCTAGTCCCAGATTATTGAGTGCCAAAATAATTCTCATTGACATGTTGTGACACTTCTGTTTTTGGTAAACAAGCGGGCTTCGAGGCTTGTATAGTTTGTTACACGTATATACACTGAAATATTTACATATATACTGTTTTATTGAAGATTTCCCAAAAAAAACTCATGTGATATGTCTTACATAGTGCAGTGAAATCCAATATCTATTTATGATAGCTAACTACTTAGCTCTACTTGCAACTTGTGGAGGCATAATCTGCCTCTAGTTTTGAGATATACAAACCAGATCTTATTATGGTTTTATCTCCTCTGAGATTACTAAATCCTGTAACATATAAGTTTGTATCTACAATTTTTTATTCTGCGAAAATAATAGGGAAAAGTAATCCAAAACGATTATGGAATCAGGTATTTATAAAGTTCCTAATTTACATGTTTAATTTACTTTTATTTTAAATTCGATAATATATCATTTTATTTTTAGTATTCCTATTTTCTAAGGCGTATAGTTGGAGTGTCAGCCACCTTTGCCTTTTTTTGGCCTGTAAAGAAGAAAAAACATGTTATAGAAAGGACTGCAACAGGTCAGCCAATAGTAGTATTGGATGTAGCTGATAATTTATTTGAAAGTGGTCATTATGAACAATGTTATGACTTACTAAAAGAGTATGAGGTAAATAATTTTATGAACAAATATCAATTTATTACTTATTTAATACTGCCGTCATAAGAAAAAAATATACATCTAACAATTTTTTTCAAAATCGAACTATATATTCGGAAACAGAGTATTTTTTGTTTTTGCCAAAACAAAATAGAACCCTAATAAAACCATCACCATTATAATAATAATAATAACTTTATTTAAAGTAAAGATTTACAAAATTTGTTTAACAATGATAGCCACACTAGGCTTAGCCTGTATCGAGGCTATCAATACAAAAACGATTATACATTAGGACAGTAGCAATAATATTAGAATCTTTTATAAATCTCATATGAAACAATAGGAAGAGATCGCAGTTTACTACAATCTATATTTATTTAATTAACTAAGTTTAACTTGGAGCTATGTGAGTGTGTGTGATAGTTTGTGAGCCTGTGTGTGTGTTTGTGTGTACATGTCTAAGTATGTGTATTCGTCTGTCTGTCAGTTTTCATTCTTATTTTAAGATTTTTAGCAATTGTTTGGTTTCTTTATGGTTAAGACAGCTCATGACTACTGATTTTCAGTTTAGCGTCCCGTATTGTATCCTGTTTGAAATTATATCTATTGACAACCTTATTATAAATAAATGGAAACATGAACTTTTGAAAGCGGTTTGCGAAGGATGATTTGTTTCTAGGAACAGGGACTTTGAAAATTCTTTGCCTGAGCATTTTATTGTAATCAGGGGCGTTTAACACGTTTTTATGTGTGGAAATGCTTGAAATATGTACAATCGTCTTATATTCAATACTTCGGCTTCTTTGTAGAGTTCAGTGGTTGGGAATCTCAACTGTTTATTCAACATAACTTTTAAAATTGATCTCTCAGCCCTTTCTAAGATAATCAAGTGTGTTGCAGCTGAGCCTCCCCAGATATTTAAACAGTAAGTCAGGATGGATTGACACAATGATATATATATCGTTTTTAATAAATGTAAATCAGCAACATCTCTAAGTTGTCTTATAACGTAAATTAGTTTCCTTGCTTTAGCAGCAGTTGCCACGATGTGGTCTTTGTAAGAGAGTTTATCATCTAGAATTACTCCTAGATATTTAATGCTTCGTGACCTTTGTATTTTATTACAATTACAAATAGTCTGATCAAAATTACATGTGTGAATTGGAATGTTTGGGCTTAAGGCTGGAGAAGAAGCTGCAGTTTTGTGGTAGCATAAATATTTGGTTTTGCTAGTATTTAAAGTTAATAAATTATTGTGAAGCCATTTAGCTATAATCGCCATACCTTGTTCAGCCGTGGCAAAACAGTTGGCCCAAGTGGAATCATGAAATATTATTGCTGTGTCATCCGCGTAGCAGATCATCTTTGCATTTCTAAGTGGTAAGGTCGTCAGATTATTTATCATCATCATCAACAGCCTATACTAGTCCACTGCTGGACATAGGCCTCTCCTTAGAAAGGAGGTTTTGGCCTACTATACCACGCTGGCCAGACTTGTTGGTATAGGGTTTGTTTCAAGTTTTCCTTCTCTCTGCAGTGTTTTTGTTGTTGCAGGTTATTTATATACAGAAGAAATAGAGTCGGGCCTAACACACTCCCTTGAGGAACTCCAAAAGAAGTTTCCTGCAAGGTACTGTGCAAGGAGTCCACCTTTAAACATTGTTTCCTTTCCGTCAAGTAACATCGGAACCAGTTTAGCGCGGTTCCCCTTATTCCAATGCCTTTCAATCTCTTGAGTAAGATTGGAATTGCAACAGTATCAAAGGCCTTTGCGAGATCTAAGAAGATTCCGATACATGCAAGGCCATTGTCTAGATTTGTAACAATTTCATTTGTCAATAAATTTACAGCGTCTTCAGTGGACCTTCCTTTTCGAAAGCCGAACTGACTTTCTGATAAAATATTGTTCTTCTCAATGTACTTAACTACACGTTTGTTGACTACTCTTTCTAGTATCTTAGCAAAGACAGAGAGCAAGGAAATTGGTCTATAATTGTTAGCCAAATTGGTTTCTCCCCCTTTATGTATAGGTACAACAACAGCAGTCTTCCATTCTTGAGGAACGATTCCGGTTGATAAAGTTTGGTTAATAATATAGGTTAGCGGTTCCACAATATGAATCTAGACTTTTTTTATGAGTCGGTTAGTAACTCCATCTAGTCCTGGGGCACTGTCATTCTTTAGATTCATAATTATGTGTTCTATTTCTGTATTATCAGAATGTATGTAAAATATTCATTACAAAGATTTAAGGAGTCTTGCGGACAAGAATTAAAAGTATTAGATCTGACGCAGGTGATTTCGTTACTACTTTTCTATGCGAGATTTTATTAATAGTCTGCCAGAGTTGTCGTGGTTGATTTTTCGAGTTTTTCAGCAATGTACATTCATATTCATTTCGTATTTTACAAATTAGAGGAGTTATAAAAATTTCTATACCTGAGATATATCAGTGATTTCACTTCGTTTCTTGGCATTTGTTTAGCCTCGAGGTGTAATTTATCACGAACACGTGAGCATCTTAGCAACCCTTCCGTCATCCACGGCTTAAGAATTATCTTTGAGCGACTTATTCTAATTAATTTAGTGTTGTCTTTGATTATATTGTTTATAATAGTCATAAAATGTTCTGTTTGGTCAGCCACATTCTGTATCTTCATCATCTTAGGCATGAGGCACTTCTACTTGATACTGCAAAATTTATAAAATGAGAAAGACATTTATGACGTGTATTAAGTTTCTAAAACACACAGTAGAAGCGTCTTAATAATTTATATAAAACTATTCAATCAAGAATGAAAAGACGCCTTAATACGCGCATAAGAAGAACAGATGTAAGTGCATAGATGTGCCCTTTCTTTTTAGCATTATTTGAAATAACTGCCCACCTACGGAAGTGGCGTCTTTTCTACTTAGCATAGGTAGTTCAACAGGGAGAGTTAGGGGTCGCCGTTGGTATACTGTGCAGTCAGTTGTGCCAGATTTGTGAATAACTAAGAGCGACAAACATCATTTTTCTACAGAATATTTAACAGAATTAACAAGGTAATTATTACTTTATTTATGTTACGCATTGTAAGGTTGCATTTCTTCACCATTACAGAAAAGTTAATTATCGACGTGTTTTTATTTTGTAGGTTGTTTTGACAGATGGATTTTCCGACGTTTCAGTAAGCTCCGAGAGATGGCGTCACAGTCGAGATTTTTTAGTCTATTTTAATCGACTGAAGGACGATGGTAAGAATTTAATCAATGACCAGAAGACAGTGGCCAACCTGTTCGCCAAGCAATTTGTAAAGTCCTATACTGCGGAACCACCAAACACATCAATGCCATGTATTAAGATGCCACGCATTGAAAAATCTATTGAAAATATCACAATTTCCCCAGATATTGTTAGCAAAACCCTCAAAACATTCAGCGATACAACATCAATGGGTCCTGATTCTCTGCCTTCAATAGTATTAAAGCAATGTAGCAATGTGCTTTCTCACCAACTGTCACATATTATGAATGTGTCTCTTAAAACAGGAAAACTACCGCAGGAGTGAAAGGAAGCTCATGTGACGCCAATATATAAAAAGGGTGACAAATACCTTGCAGCCAACTACCGTCCAATCAGCCAACTACCGTCCAATCAGCCTTACAAGTATAGCTTGTAAAACTATGGAAAAAATAATAGCAGCAGAAATAAATCAATTTATCAGTATAGAGAATGTTATTATGGAAGAACAACATGGGTTTGTTCCTAAGAGATCCACTGTCACAAATCTTCTTACTTGCCTTGACAAGTGGACGTGCAACTGGAATAACAATCAACCAACTGATACTATTTACCTGGACTATGAAAAGGCTTTCGATAGGGTTCCCATTAAAAGATTAACAGCAAAGCTCGAGCACATCGGAATACGTGGACAGCTTCTTCAATGGATATCTGACTTCTTAACTAATAGACAATTCAGAGTAAGATTGGGGGACACACTATCAGAAGCTCACAATGTACACAGCGGAGTGCCTCAGAGATCTGTGATCGGACCTGTCTTGTTTGGTATCTTCATTACTGACCTCAGAAGTGCTATTAGATCAGACTTATCTGTGTTTGCTGACTATACCAAAATATTGGGAAACCCCCTCATCAGTCATAGCGTTATACAACAGGACTTGGATCGTATTGTACAGTGGACACAGGACTGGCTCATCCCACTAAATGCAACGAAGTGTACCGTTTTACATATGGGCCACAACAACCCGAAGTTGAAATCCAAAATTGGTTCGGTGGAACTGCAACCTGTAAGTTCCCAAAGAGATCTAGGGGTAACCATCACACATAACCTCAAGTGGGATGTACATATCACAAATATAGTGAAGAGGGCTAATTCCATGCTGTATGTGGTTAGAAAAGCATTTAACATCATAACAAAAGACTTGTTTATAAAGATCTACAAAACATATATCCGCCCGCTCTGGGAGTACACATTTCAAATATGGAATCCATACTTCAATAAAGATATAGAAATGCTCGAAAAAGTACAACGGAGGGCTACAAAAATGGTTATATCATTAAAAAACATGTCATATGAGGAACGCCTTATTGAACTAGAGTTAACTACACTGGAGCAACGCAGGCAACGGGGAGATCTGATTGAAACATATAAAATATTAACTGGACACTACAATGTGAAAGACATCGGAAACCTCTACACTATGAATTCTAATGCCCGATTGAGAGGACACCCATTGAAGCTCACCAGGTCTCCGTCTGTTAGCAACCCTAGAAGACACTTTCTACCAAATCGCGTGGTGACCATTTGGAATAGTTTACCGGAAAGTGTAATTAGTGCTGAATCAGTGAAATTTTTTAAAAACAGACTAGACGAACATTTAAAAACAACAAAACGAACAAGTGCAGTGATATGTACGCATCAGATCTGTGATCTGCTATTGCATTATAGAATAATAATAATAATAATATTGTATTGATTCAGTCCATGGAATTATTTGCTCTATGGAAGTATTCATTCTATTGTAGTTTTTTTTTTGCACTTCTTGCTCTGGCAACACCTTTTTGTCGCATTTGCATCTTCCTGGGCGAAGCTGACCGGGGTAGACATATTTGTGATTTTTGAAAGATGCAAATGAAATCCGTTTCAATTTGTTATAATCAGAGGTTTAATCAACTTTTATTGTTGGCCGGTTTTGTTAAGAAATTGAGTTTTTTGTACTTGGCTTAAGGAGACTAATGTTCTAAATCTTTGATTATTTGACTACAGGAATTATTAATAATGCCTCCGATTTATTTGTGAGTCGTTTTGGAACCCTGGTGAGTAAATTATTGTATCTTACAAAGCTTAGACTTTATCTTTGGAGCTAGGGAAATAACCTATAATTTTTGTTTGTTACAGTGCCGTAACAGGGTTTTTTTTTAGTTTTTGCTTTCCTTCTTATTAGATTGCAATTTTATTATCAAGGTAAACAGATTGCATTAATGACAGAACTAATTTGAGAATAAGAATTACATTTGTAATTAGACCTATAATATTCCATGTACTCTACAGACACTACATAAATAATACATAAACATAAAAATAAACTGCCAATTAATCTTATAACATATCTTTATTTTATAGCTTCCCCCCACCCTAGATTAAAAGTCTAAGCGCTGACCGAGCTATTCCATTGTATTTGTTATTAGTTGTCTATCTTCATTTAAGCCGGCACCTGGCGCCCGAGATTATTTGTGGTGCCGGACCAGTTAGTTCATTCATTTGTATTCAACATAGACATTCATTAGTTTAAATTAGTTTATTCATTTTTTTAATATTACAGCATATAAGTAAATTATTGCGTTCTTTTGTGGCATGTAGGTAATTAAACTGCAAACTAGTGACTACCTTACAAGTGATTTATTTTGGGTTAGATAAGGAAAACCACTTGGTAGTAGATTAGCAGAACTTTATGGACATAACATAAGCACTATTTGAATGTAGTTAAATGAAGAGGAGGCTCGTTTTGTGCCTCAATGCCTATATATTATTTTGTTTGCTTGTTCTCCCGAGTGATGTAAAGTTCTTAAAAAAAGCCGCTCAACTACTGCCCAATTTCACTCCTGAACCACCTGTACAAGTTGTTGTTGAGTGTCACTACGAATCGCCTTGCTCGAAAATTCGATGGCTTCCAGCCTGTGAAGCAGGTTTGGTTTTAAAAATGCTTAAGCACCGTGGACCACATGCACACTCTCCCTATATATAATGTAAAATATCTTCTACATTACATATAGGGGTATAAACAGGCTCCCTGCGTAGCGTATGTAGACTACGAGAAAGCCTTTGATATGATGTCTTGAAATCTCTGCAGAGATGCCAGGTCAACTCCCGACATGTGCAAGTGATGTCTTTACGAAGATGCAACGATGACCGTCCATGCACAAGAAAAGAGCAAAAGACCAATCCAATTGCATTGTGGGGTAAAACAGGAGGACGTTATATGACCGAAACTGTTTACCAATGCGTTGGAAGACTTCTTCAAGACACTCGATTGGAGTGGATGGGGAATCAATATCAATGACCAATACCTCTCACACTTGCGATTTGCAGACGTCACAGTCAGACCAGGACACAGTATTGAGGTGCCATTGAGATACCACTGACATCGGTCAAATTATCAGTATTCTACTAACATCAATTCGCAGTGTCAATAGACTATCGATATAGTAATATAGGTCCTCAATGGTGATATCCACAATATTGCCATACCTGAAAAATTTAAAAAATCATTTTCTTACAAATTTAAAATGTACCATTTACCAAACTGTTACAGAGACATAGACGACACTTGTATCAGTGTCAAGTCATCTTGCTTGAGGCCATTGGTCTTACATAGGTAGGTAGTACACTAGGTTAAGTGCAAAACTATATAACTATTAAAATAGCAGAATTGAGGTCCTGATGGAATCTCTGCATGATCTCGAAAAAATGCTTCATAGTCTAGATGATTCTTCGAGATCAAAATTATTCCAAGTTCTAACTCCTTATAAAAATGAGTTTAAAACTGTAAAAAAAAACTTCAAAAATGTAATGGAAACTGTTGAAAATAAACATATAAGTTTATGATAAAACAATTTCAGTTGGAGAATTCTGTGGAAATTCAATGGCGTATATGTCGAGTTTTATATAATATGTCTAAAGAGCAGAAGTATGATCGTCAATACAAGAAAACACTTTTACTTGAAGCATATGAAATTATATCAGAGCAATTAGAAAAGAACCCAGATCATTATGCTGTACACAAATGGTATGCATTACTGGTAGATGCAAAAAGTTCCCAGGATGGTATCAAAGAGCGGATAAGGCAATTAGAAACAGTGAAAAAGCACATGGATGTAAGTTTTTTTTCCCCGTACATTCTAAATGCAAACATTAGTAAAGAACCTGCGTTAATGTCTTAATTTCCTATAAAATACATTAAATCATAGTTGCATATATCCTGGGCATGATGCATTGATGCCAAGAATTAGTTCATTTTGAAACACTGTATTATAATGAAACTGGCACAATAATCTAATATAGATAGAACAAGATCGTGTATATGCTATAAATAACTGTTTTAAATGTATTAAAGTTCTAATATGCCTTATCAAATAGCTATTATTTTATTTTATTGCTCATTTAAAATTTAAAGTACTTATGATATTTTTAATGAACATATTATCTGGGCTTCTTGTGGGACAAAGGCCTTATAAACGTCGTCGTGTGTCTACTTATTTTATTTTACGTTTCAGATGGCTGTAACATTAAATCCAAACGATGCAACCATTCTATACATGTTGGGCGAATGGTGTTTTCAAATAGCTGAATTACCGTGGCATCAGAGGAAAATAGCTAATGTCTTGTTTGCATCGCCACCACACTCCACTTATGAAGATGCTCTTGATTATTTCTTAAAAGCAGAATCAGTTAAACCTCGGTTTTATAGTTTTAACTTACTTAGAATTGGCATTTGTTACTTCAAGCTTAAAAAAGAAGATCAGGCTAAGTATTATCTTAGACTAGCTGCCAGCTATCCAGCGAAGACAAACGACGATCATACAGCAAACACAACAGCAGCTGAATATTTAAAAAAACTAAAAGCCTATTAATACTTAAACAAATAAATTTAATATGAAAAAAAAATGTTTTACTCTGGATTAAGATGTTGATGTGATTTTTAATCCAGTTCCAGGGGTCAGAAATGTATTCCGTTAATCTAATTGTCTATGCTGGGACGAATAGATCAAAGTCCCAAACCTGTGACCCTGTGCTAAAGCCGTCAATGCACTTGTGGCTATGGGCGGTCGGTATTCACTTAGCCTCACGGGCCTGGCATGCACTCCGAGCGTGTGTGTTCGTGTTAGGGTGTAGACTGCAGGCATTTCCAATTATAACCTGTTTTTGTTTAATCTTGTACATTTTGCTTAAAAACACCATTACTGCTGAATAACACGCTGATAAAACACAAAGGCATTTTTCGATCAACAAGTGCTCTCCACACAACTATTATGTTCCATACAGCAGTAACACACGTTGTGTTGTTACCATGACTGGGACCACTGTTTTAAATGCAATATTATGCAGTCCTTTTGCACAAGATTCTAAAGGAAATGCGTTATAAAACCTATTTCAATAATTAGTGCATTAATTCCACTATGTATTACTTTTTCGAAACAGTTTTTCGTGAATAACTCCGCAATGGTTGGATGCACAATTACACGACGTCATACACTCAATATCTGTTAATCTCAAACGATAATGTCGTACTACTTTTATAATTTCTTATTGGTGGAGGTTCCAACATTTAGTCGTTACATACCGGAAACTACCTCTGAACGCTGCTGTTCTGCGTGAGATAGATAGATGCTGAGAGCATAGTCGTCCTGTCCCATTCGTATGCCGGTTTGGCCAGGCTGGTCTATTGTAAAGGTAAGATGGAGTTAGTGTTTTTATGATTCCGAACAACAGATTTGCTAAGTGAAGCTTACGTCTTGCCTTGATTTTTTGAATTATTAAATAATTTTAAAAACCCAGCGCAGTAGGAAGCAGCGTGGCGACCGCTTAAACCACTACTTCATCTGTGCCGTCGTGCAGTTTTAGTGCTTTACTGACCGTTAATCCAATTCATTTTTATAACGGAGGGTGGTGCGAATTAATGTTTGTAAAAGAATTGCTAGATATGCTGACGTTTGTGCTCACCATATTGCTTCGAACCAAATCTAAGATTTTTGCGTTGTTAGAAATGTCGTTAGGTTGAATGAGACTGTCGAGTGATACAAACTCTTAAAAAAGTTGAGCGTATGTTGAGTCCTCACAAACTGCGGGGATATTATAGTTATCATCATTACAATTTGGACATGAGATGGAACTCATATTAAAATCTTTGTTTAAAGTTGTCTATGAAATGTTCGACAATGGTTTTATTTAATGGTGGGCACATATATATATATATATATATATAGCGCAGAAGTAGAATAGTTTTTTTTTGAGTATTTTCAACTTTTACAAAAAGATCTTCACATTGACTTTCTCTTTCTATGCACCGAGTAGAATAAAGTTTCTTGGCTAGTGCAATCAATACTCTGCCACCGTCTTGTTTACTATGTAAACCTGTGCATTCGCGGTACTTTCTTTAAACGGTATATCTGTCATCGAATCATTCTGAATCATAGATTTTATTATTCAGCCGCGTTTCCAATAAGATGACTATGTCATAATTTGCACATACTACTTTCACCAAGAAGTCGTGGGTTTTGATCCGTACACCTCTAACATTAATGTCAGAGATACCTACTGTTTCTTTGTAGTTAGTTCAAGAATTTGGTTCTGGAATAATGATTTGCATGGCATCTTATGAAAAATGAAATGAAATATTCAAAAACCGTACCTATAGGATAGTCTTTCAGAACGTTTAAATGTCTTTAAATTTTATGTTGTCGATAAAAGTAAACTAAATTAAATACAAATATTGATGGTGACTATGAGTAAAGGGAGTGCCCTTTAATAGGAGCGGCATAACGCGCCGTGCTCTTCACCTACGACTCCTCAAAACCCTAGACTAGAGCCTGCTGAGAACATAAAAATAGTGCCAACCTCGGAGATACAGAGTTGGATGGGGTCTATTGAGCAGTGCTTAAACGAAGGTTGTTCTATTGCATCTGAAGGCAAGCTGAACTCTAACCAAAGCTGAAAATAAATAACCTTTGCCGTAAAGTATCAAACGGAGTTGCCCAAATGGCTGTTCAATATCAATCCCTCAAGCAAAAAGCCATTCCAACAGTTCCTTACAATATGCTGCTGATACACAGGAACTTATGAATTCCCTAACGCAAATCAAGCAAGACTATGAGTTAGAGGAGTTCGTAAGATCAGGAACGGCGGTGTTATTATCAGTACTGTGACCAAAAAATACATCGAGAAGCTCAAGCAGACTGTCCAACTTGCCGAAACAGGACTTAAGGTTGATGAACCACACAAACGCAAGCCTCGAATTATTGTAATAGGAGTTCCCGAAATAATGGCGAAAATGAGGTCTAGCCGACAAATTCCATGTATGACAAAAAATACAATTATGACCTCGATAAAACTTAGCCATAAATCGGGCAAGAAAAATGCTTGTATCAAATATTAATTTAATAAAAAAAATAGAAATCCTGTCCAAAAACCCGTTTTGCCCGCATATGAGCCTAAAAAGGGTAACCTCCTTTGGGCAAGGGAGAAAAATAGATCTAGCTGCGTTGCAACAGCAGACAACTGTCGTTAGTTTCCCTTTCTCAACACTAGATATTACGCCAACCTGCTTTTTCCCGGTTCTCGACAAATTTTTTGGAGGCTTATTACTTGTGGTTTGTATCCCCGTTTCATCAACATTATAATTCCGCGTTGTGTCTATGGCATGTTTCTCTATTTCTATTTCCAGTATGTCGTAGAATCTATCAACTTGCGGTTTATTAAACCCTCGGGCTCGTGCAATTGATGTTGGTTCTGGTTGTCTAACCGTAAGGTCAGGGTGCCGCTTTTTAAAACCTAAATACCAGTCGTTTCCTGCTCGGCCGTCTTTAAAAGGGTGCGATATGTTATTTCGTTCTGCATACTGGTAAACAAGCTCTAAAAAGTCGTTATTAGTACAACCATAGAAAATATCATCGACCTGAAATACATATTCTAGTAATTCTCTTTTTTGAGCCTTATTGAACACCGGCTGATATCTTTCTAGCTTCTTCTGAGAACTTCCTTTTTTTATATGCCGTTGCAAAGTAGATAGGGTAAGGCCATACTTCTTTCCGGCGGCAGAGACCGAAGTAGTCTTCGCTTCTTCCATTGCTAGTCCCATAGTAGTTTCACTCCACGATGCACGTACGGTTTTACGCTTATATTTATTCACCATCTAAAAAAGATCCGAAATATTTTAATACAAAACTGATTCCGGGCAAAACGGGTATGTACCCGTTTTGCCCTACCCGTTTTGCCCGAGAGCACATGTTTTTTGTAAATTAATAATAACCTCAAAATGAAAGGTAAATGGGGAAAACTTTTTATCTTAAACTAAAGTTAGATAGTGCTTGAATGAAACGGTACTACTAATAATATGAGAATTATAAAGGTTTTCGACTAATTACGAGACACTTACCTTGAATTTTTTTAACAAAATCACTTTAAAACTTTCGTTGCCCACACCTATGCCATTACGCGACTCCGGCGCCTGAGCGAAACTGATCGAAACTCGTCAATGTTCGGTAACTCTCGACACAAGCACACATTGACACTTATGTTTGATACAACAATATACGAGTGCTTACCCGACTTGGGCGGCCCACCCGTTTTGGGCCACCTTCCCCTAATATTTATAAAAATATAGATAACTTTAATTGTTTTCAAAACACAGACTAAATATTGCATGTGATGTAATCGTCCTTACCCAGTGTTGGTTATCTAATCGCTACGAAACTCTCCCACAAATAGCCGGATATTTTATATACCACAGCATAATAAACCATAACCAAAACGATGGTGTGGTAGATGTTAAGGAGTCTTTACAGGTTTCAGTCGAAGAAGCACCCTTAAAAGACTGTAACTATTTAGTTATCAAAATTGGCACATATACAGCGATTATGGCTATGTATAGATCGAGATCTCCTTCAGTAAGAAATTTGGACGCCTTTCATAATTCCCTAAATCAGTCTCTTCAAACACTGACTGCTTTTAAAAATATCATACGAGCAGGTGACATAAACATAAATATCGGATCTGAGCATTACGATAAAGGAACAAGGTTACCTTAATCTGTGCTCATACCATGGGCTTCTCCCTGCGCACATATTGCCCACACATCAGAGCGGTTTTTGTCTCGATCATGTGATGATCAAATCCAGCTTATCATCTGTCGCTAGCTACTAACTCGACTTTTACTGACCATCACGTCATTCTACATGCTGTAAACTTAACGCTGCCTAGACAAAATCGATCTACAACAATTACTAATTTAAATGTAAACAAACTCGATTATAATTTATGTAATGTTGATTTTAACCCAGTTTACAATAGTGCTGACGCTAATGTATCTTTATCGTACTTAATACAGAGCGTCCAATAAGCAATACTATAAAACACATTAACAAATTGTCTTGAAAAAGAAGTATTGTAATATTAAACCTTGGATCACCCCTGGTCTAGTTCGATGTATAAAACTTTGAGACAAACTCCATCTGAGCGCTCGCCGATCTGAAAATTTGATGCTTCGAACAACACAAGAGGTACAGAAACTTCTGTAATAATCTTAAAAAAAAAATGAAGTCAAGTATATTTATGTACCTTCGCTTACGTATATTTTCCACATCTGCCTTTCTGAAGGATTTTTTCCGAAGTACCTAAAAGAGGCGGTAGTTATTCCTGTTTTCAAATCTAGGAGACAAGATCTAGCCATATCGATTCTCCCTTCAATATCAAAAATATTAGAAAAAATTATAAACACTAGGTTACTTAACTACCTTTTTTTTTTCCGTTCGGAAATCCCCTCGGATACCACCTGTCGGTGGCATGTCGGACTCGAACCGACTAAAACCGCACGCCGTCTCGGGTACTAATAGCCGGGGAACCAGGTATACCCTAGAAAAGAAGTCCCTGGTGCCCCGACATACTTCGGGTCATCTACAGACGAGTAGACGACCCCCCCCCGTGTGGGAACCCCATGTTCCCTGTGCTCCCTGGAAGCGAGCGCGCTTCGTAACGCGCTCGCCGCCACCCCGGCCTGCTTCTGCTAGGGTGACAGATGGCCTCACCTGTCACCCCCAGGCCTGCGCTTATGGAGGACGGAGGTCGTTCTGCGACCTCCGGCGCCTGAGTCGCCTGCGGTACCTGGCCCGTTCCCGGGCCTGGCGGGCCGGGAGAGTCCTAAACCTCTCCCGGTCCCGCTCCGCCGTCTCCTTCGCGAGCATAACTTGCTCGCAGAAGGAGACGGCAGTGTTCCACGCACTCTCGCTCCGCACGATAGCCGCAATCAGGCTATCGAGCGAGAGAACTCCCACTCCGATGGCCGCCACGAGGTCTCGCCTCTGCTCAACCCACGCCGGGCACTCTGCCAGCGTGTGCAGAGCCGTGTCCACGGTCTGGCCATCGCAGTGGTGGCACCCAGGCGTTGGCTCCTTGCGCATCAGACACAGGTGATCCCCGAAACATCCTTTCCCAGTGATCACCTGCGTCAGTCGGCATGAGAGGGTCCCGTGACGCCTCTCGGGCCAATCCTCCATAACGGGCCTTACCGCCGCGATGACGGCGTGCCCGGCGCTCGGTTGCCCGAGTCGTTCCTTCCACTGCCCTATAATGACCTGGCGGAGTTGGGATTTCCGGTCATCGATTTCTCGAGTCTCGGGACACCGACCCAACTCCCGCGCCTTATACACGCACTTATACAGAGCCGCAAGGGCTCTCGCCTCCAGGTCCCACGGTGGAGTTCCGGCCAGGAGACTCGCCGCCTCAAAGGAGATCGTGCGGTACCTCTTATGATCCTGATGGCCAGCACTCGCTGCGGTCGTCGCAGTATTGCGACGTTGCTGGCCTTCAGGGCCCCCGCCCATACTGGGCACCCGTAGGGCCATGGACCGCACAACCCCCGAGTAGAGTCTCCTGCAGGAGTCATCGGGTCCCTTCATGTTGGGCAGCAGCCGCGCCAACGCACGCGCTGCCCCAACCAACTTGGGGACCAGACCTCGGAAATGATATCCGAAGTCCCATCGGCCATCGAGTACGAGCCCCAGATACCTGATCGAGGGCTCGATGCCGATGCCAGTGCCTCCTACCGTGAGGCTAGATCCCTCAGGCGGCTTACTCCGAAGCCCGTGGAAGAACAGGGCCTCGGACTTGTGCAGAGCCACCTCGAGACCCAGCCGCCGGATACGCTCAACGACTTGGGCAACCCCGGCCGTGGCCCTCAAGGTTGCCTCGTGGTGCGTCGCACACCGCACGACATTTCACGCCTACCGAGACCGGTCCTACTGGGGTAGACGACGGCTCTCTCCGACAAATATGCCCCGACTATGCGGCGGAGGTAGAGAGGCACTTCGTAATACACGAGCGCCTCCCTGATGCAGCTCCAGGGCATAGTGTTGAACGCGTTGGCGATGTCCAAGGACACCGCCAACACCACTTCGCCCCGGGAGACTGCTTCCTCCGCCAGAGCCTTCACGCGCATGATCGCATCCACGGTGGAGCGCCCCTGACGGAAACCGTACTGGCTGTCCGCCAGATCCGGCCCAACCATCACGAGATACTTGACGAGGCGCCTTGCAATCACTCTTTCAAAGAGCTTGCACACCTCGTCAAGCAACACTATGGGCCGGTAGGCGGACGGTGAGTCTGCCGGGCGCCCCTCCTTTCGGATGAGGACCAGTTTCCCCGTCTTCCACAATTTCGGAAACTGGCCCCGCTCGAGGCATGCGCTGAAGAACCCTCGCAGTCGGGGCTCGAGAGCCTCGTCGACTAAGGCCAGGACCCACGCTCGGCCAGGAATGCCATCGGGTCCCGGGGCGGTGTTTGGAGTTTTTTTTCTTAACCTCTCTAGCCACTCAATGGATTGACTTTTTCATGACCAGTAAAAGCTAAAAGTTGTACTGGACTTTTAAATATATGTCAATATTTATTCCGAGTTATTGCACTTAATGCAAATGTGAAAAGAACGTTTTCTCTAATAAACGCGCAATGAACGAAAGAACGGAATCGATTTAACATTGAGTCCAGGAAAGCCATACCTACCACATAAGTGAATTAAAAAAAAAGATTGTATAGAGTTTTATTCTTAAATTTTAACCCAATAAATAAAAAAAATGCGTCTTCAGAGAAATATCACTAGAAGTACGTGGATAGTGAAGGTGGTTTTTTAATACATTTGAATAATACCTTTTTATGTATTAAAAATGCATGCACTTGTTTCATAATCCTTTCGTTTTTTTTTTTCTTGAAAATAAGGCATTTTTATTTAGTAAGTCAGGCATAGATTTCTTTAGATATGGTAACTCTAGGCGCACCAGATATTTTGAGACGGATTATTCGGACGCCAAAAATCTTCCCATTGCAAGATCTGAAGAATTTAGAGTGACACATGCTCGTTAGCGAATTATAGAAAATGCAAACTGCAAATGCGAAAAATTGCCGTTTCAAAATACCGGAGCTTGCTTGATTTTATACAGACAGTTCAGCTTGATGTTCCTCTCATACTAGCCAAAAATCTGACAGTAATTTTGCAGAGTAGGTATTTTAAATCTGACGGTTAGAAATATTTTGATCTTTTATAAAATGTGACAAATAAAGGCATGAAAACTATGTAGACTATTAAAGAAGATTTCTTGCAGTTTGCTTTAAAATAAAAAAAATGTCAAGGTCAGCTGTATTGTTTTTGGACTTTGTGACCCACTGCTTTATGTAACCCTCCAATCGTCAGATTTTTTTAAATACACACTAATGTGTATGTAATTGATTCAACTTACCTTAAACTCGTCAAGCAACACTATGGGCTTCTATCTTACACGCTCGAGTATGTCTGGCCATCGATTTTTTTTCAACTAATCTGATGGGCTAATAGATGTACAACAACCGATTAAAAACGTTATAAATAAAATGTTTCCGTTTAAACCCCAAATAAATCGTTTTAAACGATTGAAACCTCGACTACAAAAAAAAGAACAAAACTTCTTTTTTTTTAGTTCTGTTTTTTTGTTAGTTTCTTCATTATGGGCAAATATTTTGTCACCTGACGTCATGTTTCGTTTAAATTCATTCATAGAAATTCAATAGAAAGTACCTATCTCGTTACCTATTACACGAAAACTTAAGTAAGTAGGTATACCTACCTATACTTATTTATTATATTATATTACATACACTAGATTTGTAGACATCATTAACACACTCAACACTGCCGCCCGCTTTACTTGCGCATGAAAGAGATAACGTTATGTCTTCACATTCTGACGTCAGAATACAGTGCATGCTTGCGGACGTGCTAGGGCTTGCAAGTTTGAATTTAAAATATTCGATTGTAAAGCAGCGGTTTTTTTAGGATATATCTCCACTTGTACTTGTCGACTAAAAACAACTTCGGGTATTTTTGGGTAGTTTATGTATTTATGGATATTTTCTATAAATACATAAGGAGGTTAAGGTACTCTTGAGTATTTTCGGGTATTTTTTTTCATTACTTTACTTTACATAAAGAAAATGAACTGTGGTTGGCTAGGGAATATGAGGGGTTAATAAGTAGCCAATCGCAGCTTAGCTAAACAGAGACAGGCAAAAAATCGGGCATTCATCTCTCTCGTTGCTTGTATTGCTTACACTTATAGGCAGCTGTACCCCGTGTTCTCTCTATGGTTATATCTCTATGATAAGCCCATTCAGAATAATAACTGAAATACCAAAAAAAGCAAAACGATGTTCATCATCTGCCTACCCTTTTCCCAATTTTATTTGGGGTCGGCGCAGTATGTATGATTTTTCCATTCTACTCTGTCATGCGTCATCTCACTGTTTACTCCCTTCCTAGCCATATCCTCCCTGACGCAGTCCATCCACCTCTTCTTCGGTCTGCCTCTTCTCTTGTACCCTTCAACTCTCATACCTAAAACTTTCTTCGCCACATTTTCCTCATCCCTCCGCATGACATGTCCATACCAAGATAACCTATTACTTCTTAACTTTTCATCCAGTGGCGCTACTTTCAGACTCCCTCGTATATACTCATTCCTAACCTTGTCCATCTGAGTCACACCACACATCCATCTCAGCATTCGCATTTCGGCTACGTTCAGGCGTCTCTCATCCGTTCTCTTAATGGGCCAACTTTCAGAGCCATACAGGACGGCAGGTCTGATAATAGTTTTATAAATTTGTCCCTTCAGTGTTAAGGGGAAACTGGGGTCACAAGTTGTTCCCGTTACCTGCCGCCACTTCATCCATCCCGTATTGATTCGATGCTGTACAGTTCGATCAATCTCACCATCACATTGAAAGAGGGAGCCGAGGTACTTGAAAAGCAAAACGATGTTATTATACATATTTATATTCAAAAGGTAATCAATATTAAATGGGTTTCCTTTAAATTTAGTAATACCTAAAAAAATGGTGCCTTCCCAAAATAGTTTTCTTTAAGAAGATTTTTGTGATTTTCAACTTGTTCATAGGCTAGCAGTACTGTTTCAATGTGACCAACACAAATAAACAGATGTCAGTTTTGAAATTGAACAGATTTTGAAAGAAATAGAAAAAGTTCGTTAAATCAATGATATTGATACTTTTCATATTGCAACTAGGCAATAGTGTAATCTATTTGTCACTATTTTAAAAATAATTATACTGATCGTAATAATGTCTGTAAGCAGTCCAGACGGATCAAAAGGTGATGGCGAAATATTTTTTGGAAAGATGACACTTGAAGAAGTGAAAAAACGTCTCTTTTGGAATCTAAAACCGTAAGATCAAAAAACTTTATTTGTTCAGCGGTAATAATATTAAATATATCATTGTTGAACCTCGTTTTAAATATTAATATCGTTAGGTATCACACTGTTCCTTTTGTACAGTACTTTTTATTTTTGTAAAATTAATATTATTAGAATAATAGCTTTTATGTAATTTTAATTAGAGCAATGGCTTTGCTTAATATGAATATTACAAGCAATCTGAGCCAAAGTCAGTGTTGACCCAAAAATGGCACCCTAAAGTAATTCCATATATTTCTAATTAAATTGCAGGCGTTTCCTGTGGGTAAATAATGATTGCTCAAACTTTTTTTTGTTAGCACTATTTACTACCTGCAATTTCTATTTTGTAATAGAAATAATAATTTACAAATAATTTTATTTTCTTCCATAACCTGTTCTTCATTACTCAAAATATCAGTTTGATTTGTTCACTCTTTATTTTATGTGAGCAAAGAAAAAGTTCATTCTAGTAAAAGTTCTATTCACTTAGTTATTTTTTATTATTTTACAGATGTGCTTCAAGTGCTGTGAACAGTCCCAGGGAGTATGAGGACCACAATACTAGTGTAAAAATATTAGAATCTCATTCAGCCCCTAATTTATTATCCGTTAAAGATTCTGTTAAAGATAAAAACTGTTCAGAAACAGTTACTTCAGGGTGGGACATGAGGGAAGATGACAGTTTTATTAAATTAGAAAATATGGTGGCTAAACTGTGTGTGTCACCAGGACCACCCAATTGTAGTAAGCCTGAAGAGCTGAATAATACATTAGAAGTTATTGAATACATTTTGAATAACCCTCCAAGTGATAACATTAATAATGAAATAATGACTGATGTAAAACCTGTACTGAAAACTGAGAGTGAAGTATTAAATGAAGTTTGTTTAAAGAAATTACAGCATATATCTCCACAGAAGAGTGTCAAGGTAGAACAAAATATTCAGAAAGACTCACCAGAAGTACTTCGGAATACTCCACAGATGGGTGTTAAATTAGAACAAACTATTCACAAAGACTCGACAAAAGTACCTCTAAGTACTCCCGTGAAATCTCAAAGGAAATATGCGAAAGAAATTGCTGGATTCATGACACCAGTAGGTACAAAGACTAAACCAGTTTTTAAGACACCTGCTCAACCACTTTCACTTAAGAAACCTTCTGTAACATCTTTAAAAAAAACTCCGAGCTATAAATCAAATGCCTATGAACATATCAGCAGTCCAGTAGCCTCTTACATTAAAAACTGCCCTATTGTGCCATTAGTTAAAGATGTGCACCCAAAGAAACCATTACCTGGCCCATCATCTATCCCAAAATTTAAGAATCATGTAGCAGTTAAAGCAAGTAATAAAGAAAATATCAATTTACCATCAGTAGCATATAAAAGTGCAAAGAAAACAAAAGTGGTATGTATAATGTTTATAATTTGTCATTTTTAAATGTTGTAGGGAATGCTGGAAAGAACATGCTATTATTTAAGCAGACAAGTAGTAACTGCCCATATTTGATTTATTCATTAATAGGTTTTGCCCATGCCTCACGGTATGTTTGTCTTCACAGTAAAAAGTAGCCTATGTTACTTGCTGAAAATTTAGTTTTCCATTGGTGAGATTCTTTAAAATTGGCTTAGTCGCTTATGAAATGGATGGATTCATTTAATTACTAAGACTGAAGTTCTTATTAGAAAATATACATTTATTTCTATAATTATGCCATATTATGGCAGGTAGAGTGTAAACATCTAAAGTCTTTACTCCATGGCCAGTAATGATAGCATGAGATATAAAATACTGACATTGTGCCATTAATTACATTGCCATTAATACATCTTCACAGTAAAAAGTAGCCTATGTTACTTGCTGAAAATGTAGTTTTCCATTGGTGAGATTCTTTAAAATTGGCTTAGTCGCTTATGAAATGGATGGATTCATTTAATTACTAAGACTGAAGTTCTTATTAGAAAATATACATTTATTTCTATAATTATGCCATATTATGGCAGGTAGAGTGTAAACATCTAAAGTCTTTACTCCATGGCCAGTAATGATAGCATGAGATATAAAATACTGACATTGTGCCATTAATTACATGGACTAAGTCCTTTGGATAATGTACATTTCAACTGGTGCAAAGGTTTTTTGAAGAGAAACATTAGAATCGTTGTGATTTGAAACTCGATGAAACAAAAATGCGTCATGATAAAGAAACAGAAACATAAATGTATAGGATTAAGTCGGCTAGAGAATGAGATAGAATACATTACACATTATTTTTAATCAATTTTTTTGACAGAGTGAATATTTTTATTTCTTTATTTAATACTAGCTGGTACCCGCGACTTCTTTCTCGTGGGATTTGAAAAACGCTGCTTTAGTGGCTTCGATTCCCGAGCCGGTCAAAATTTTATAGGGTATTTTGATACAAAAAAAAAATTTTTTTCGGAAGTTTCACTTCTGCCGTGTGAATTGCGCACACACTTTTTTTTTTAAATGTCTTTTCTAATTAACAGATTGACCTGCCTGATGAACAGAAACTGCCACAAAGTCAGTGGGCGAAAAAAATTATGACGTCTTTACCAAGACCAGTGGTGATGAAGCATGATCATAGAGAAATTAATTTCGCAAAGAGAAGACTTCTGTCACAACAAGAGGACAGTTTTGCTGACCTCCCATACCAACAGGCAGAGGTCTCTATATGTACACAAAAAACAGCTTTTAAGAACAATTAGATTATTTTGTTGTGAATGTGTGCCTTATTTAAATGACTTAATAAATATTATGGTGATGAGTATTACACAATTCATGTGTTTAATTAGTGATAAACTGTTTCTTAAATAGAGTAGGACCAAAGGTCATTATACGCGAGCGCGCATATCTCAGGGCTACTAGTTAGAATTGAAAAATTCTTTGTGCGGGATAGCCCCGTTTGTTGCCTGTGGTACCATCAGTAGGCTATATTTCCGGTAGTCCCCTGGGTTAACAACTAGGAATTTCCATCCCAGAACTGAACTGCTTGCATTGTAATTATTATTTTTTTCCTGTGCGGAAATCCCCTCGTATATCAACGGAGTTCCACGCTCTCTCGCTACGTACTATGGCGGCATTGTTATTACACCTACATACCCGTAAACTGTGTGCGGATTAGATATTTCTATTTATCCTGTTTATTTGAGAAAACGTCTTATGTCTCCCGAGGAACATGAATACTATATTTTACTAATTTCGCATTGGTCAGAAGGTAGAGGGTAAGGTCAAATTGGTCTGGAAGAACACCCCAGTACCAGCTTCTCCCTCTGGACCGCATCCAAAGAAGAGCGGTTGGAATCACTGAAAGCAAAAAGATCTTCGACCGCCCCGATCCCTTGACGTTACGTAGAGATGTAACTTCACTCTGCATTCTCTATCGTATATATCATGGAGCGTGCTCCGAGGAATTGTTCGGACTAATACTGGCCGCAACTTTCCGCCATCGTTCCTCACGGCAAAATTTTCATCTTCACCAGTTGGAAAAGTGACTTTGCCTCGCACAACGAATCTGTCGGACAAGTTATAGTCTGCGGTATTTCCAGAGCGATACGACCTTTAAGAAAAGAGCGTAGTCCTTTCTTAGAGGCCGGCAACATGCTTGTGAATTCTCAGTTGCAGACGTTCATGGGCGGTAGTCGCTATCCATCAGGTGAACCATCTGCTCGTTTGTCCCTTCTTCCGTAAAAAAAGTCTTTATTACATTTAGCAAGGATTTATAAAATGGGTCCTTGATTCAGATGCACACCTACTTAACCGGTCTAATGAAATTTTGCATATACGTTGTTCATCTTCATGTACGGTTTCTGAAAGATCTCTGAATTTAACATTTATATAACACGATTAAATTTCCTAAATTCTCTCTCTAATCTTGCATGTGTCTGACTCTCCATTGCTTTTCATGTACGGTATTTTGCGGAGGTTGAAGTTAGCGATCGTGATACATGTATGGGAGGCAAACCACAGAATGTTCGGGAACAAAAATCACTTCATTTATTAACTTACTATTAAACTACTGACTATACCCAGATTACAAACAATTAAATACTTCTAAATCGCAACAATAATATAGCCAATATTGATGGAATGAGTAAGTTTATGTTTCTTTTTACCAGTAACTTAGCCTGTCTTATTGGTGGAATTTCTGTGTAATTTTATCAAATTAAAATTAAAGCTTTTGATCGCATTACCACCTTGAGCGTTCGGGTATAAAATACAAATAATATGTCCAATTGCAGTTAAATAACATTTATTCAATAAACAGTAGGTATTACATAAATTTCTAAAAAATGGTATAATAGGGATAGATCATTATGTAAAAAGTTAAGTTAGTCCTATGTGAAGACAATTGCTCAAGCCAACACTTTGGCCAAATAGAGAAACTTTTATGAATGTAAATAAAATATTAACTATTCTGTTTTGTTAGCACTGTAATGGTACATCTACTTTGTTACAGAAGTACGTCATGAAAATCAATTTCTGTAGAATATTATTTTAAGAGGGTAGGAGGCTAAAGTACAGTTCATACACAATAAGCGAAAACGCTTAATGTATTATTGCTTAATATTTCGAAACTGAAGTAATGTGCGTTGGTTCACTCGAATTATAAACTATCTATAGTATAGATTTCGTTGTGCGACTTAATATAGAGCGCTTTATGTATCATATAAAGATTATGCACTTGGTTAAATTCGAAATCACATTTGAAAATTGTATTAATTGGGATACCGGTGTGGTAATCACCGGTGGAACCTCATGCCCAAAGTTTTGGATGGTGTTCTACACGATAAAAAAGGGATTTCTAAAATAAATATGTATGTATGTATATCTTTAATTTTAATGGAGGAAACAGATTCAGATTTAGATGTATATAAATATAATATTTCATCGTAATTAATATCACAAGTATAAATAAAAAAATACAAAGAGACTAGTTCCATTTTGGATATTGGTATTGTTGCATTTTGGTGACCAAAGATGAATGTTTTACCAGGATATCTATCATAAGTTTGTATTCTCCGAGTCAGGTAATACTTAGAATAGTGGAGTAATATAATAACAGGCACATTTTTTCTTAACAATATCATTAGGTACATATATATTATAGTAATGTTGGCTTATCATAACAACCTTCTAATAACACATTTAGGTTACATTATTCTTCAAGCCCAAGCCACTACTGACACCAACCGCTTTAAGCATATCTTAATAATTACACAGTGGATAAAATTCCTGCACCGAATTACAATTTCACCAGGTACAGATGGAAATGTAAATAACTATTGTCAAATATAGATGCATACGAATCATTTATTAACATGACATAACAAGGCCTTCTTAGTTTTTATACGTATTAAACGGCAGTTTTTATAGCATACAAAAATCGAATAGGATCGTCGCCACTCCAGAATTCATAATAATAAGTACTAGAGATCGCCTGCAGGGCGAATATCGAAACTATTTTTAGTTTTTCATTAAATTGACAAAGTTGGTCATTTTCAAATGTTCATTTTTTTTGTAAATACAATTATAACACATATAAAAAGTTTTAGCTTTCGCTGCTACATATACCTAGACTTTAGGTCTAGAAGACCAAGATGAACATTCAACATTTTCATAAAAAGGGTTTCATAGACTTGTCTTTACGTATCCGGGATACATAGGTACCAGAATCCAACCCTTTTAATTGTTGTTTTATTTTGTAATTAGATAAATGGACAAGTCAAAATATAAACTGGACCCCTGTAACTTTATAGCACACATTGTTTAATTTTTTAGTTCTCAGCACTTTTTTACATATTTTAACATTAATTTTGAGTGTTCCTAATTCCAAATGCCAGTTTGGCTTAGTTTTACATATTAATGTGTAAAAACGTAGTGCAACCAGTGTTATAAAAAATATTGAAAGCTTTTGGAGTAAGTGCATATTACTGACTTAAATATTTCTATTGGAGAGCCCATCACATAAGTATAGAACGCGTTTGTTTATAAAATATTTTCACAACACTATATTTTAAAGAAATATGATAGACATCAAAAATAAAAAAAACAGTCTTAACTAGTTGTTTTATCATAAGTATCATACCAGACCGGAGTTTCCTTAACACTATTAACGTACTACTTGAAATAAAAGGTAGAGCTAGAACTAGAGCACATCTATACTAATATTATAAAGCTGAAGAGTTTGTTTGTTTGTTTGTTTGTTTGAACGCGCTAATCTCAGAAACTACTGGTCTGATTCTTTCAGTGTTAGATAGCCCATTTATCGAGGAAGGCTATAGGCTATATATCATCACGCTAAGACCAATAGGAGCGGAGCAGCAATGAAGAATGTTTCAAAAACCGTGAAAATTTATTACTCTTGAGAGACGCAGACGAAGTTGCGCGGGTCAGCTAGTATTACATAATTCTTGACAAAATAATTTTGTAGTTCAAAAATGAGTGTGTTCAAAAATGTTAAGCGGCATTATAATTAAAGATAATGATAAATCTTCATCAAATTAATATACGATTAAAATAGACACAAATTCGGTCCTCATAATCTATGTGAACGACATTGATTTTTGCTGCCAATCCTTCTACCTACTCTGTTTTGCCTAAGGCTTCTAAGTCACTTGGTTTCGTGATAAGGCTCTCCAGATGCTTCAAAAAAGCTTAGTACATAAGCCGTATTGAAAATGTTCAAAAACATTTTATCAGTCATCGCCTTCGAATATCCTAATCTTCTAAAAATTATATACAAATGTGCAAGAAATTTCACATTCAGCCGTTAACTTACCGTCGTCGGTTAGCAGATTGTAAATTATTCGCCAAAATAATTTCTAACGAAATTGACTGCCTTGAACTATTGCACAAGCTTAAATACAATCATATGTTAGGCATAACCCTCCAATTTCATTCCCCCCATCATCTTCAAATTACAGAAAGAATACTTATATGGTGCGAGCAGCTAGAGATTTCAAGATATTATGCAAAGAATATGATTTGGATCCTTACCCCATAAAAAGTGACACGGCCAAAGTGGCTAAAGTGCTAAATCATAACTTCTTTGGCGATTAGCTTATTTCAAACGAACCGTAATTAATATATTTGTATGAACCTTCAATGCACGAAGCATTGAGTGTTCTTGAATTTATATCGATACTCCTGTTATTTTATACGTGAAAACCTGTAAGTGGCTTTCCGTTATATATTATTTTGTCTAAAATAGTGACTCATAGCTGTTGGTTTTCCTCAAATAAAAAAATAAATTCAAATGTTTCCATTATGCGTCGGCGTAATTGTACATATCTAAATGTTATACAATTTTCTTTTGTCTTGTCTATATAAAATGAAAAGTTATGGTTAAAACTAGCACTTAGTAATCATATTTCCTTTACCGGAAATAAGTCAAAGCCATCTTTTAAATGAATACCTACCTTACTCTAGTTATATTAGCGCCGCAATAAAACATGGTAAATCGTGCTACAATTTTCTCTGCCCTCGCCTTAGAGAAAGAAGAAAATTTAGTTAAACCAAATATGAAGTTTATAATGTAATCAGACATAAACATACATTTCTGATTAGTCTCTAAACTGGCGACGCGTATACACTATGGAGATTTAATGGATGTATTTCTATTATGTACACAAAACTTGTGTATGCAATAATTGGCAGATTAACAATTGTATATATATATTGAACACAAGTGCGTCGTCTGTCCCAGATAATTTGCTCCTTATCTAGTAAATGCGTTGCTAACCCAGTCTACATAAATTATTTTGAATATGGTGATCACCTCTCTGAGTATGACAAATTAAATGAGAGGGCTTGATCTAAGGATAGCAGATATTTGTTTCTTTATAAGATTAATTTAATTTAATTATTAATTTTAAAATAGTTTTCAAGTTCTTAAAAAGCATAATATAATATGAAATGTTACCATAGCAAGGTCGACGGTGTTAAAATGTCATTAGTTTCACGAAATCTTTTGATTAAAACTAAAAACCAACTCTTTAAGTACAAGTTTGACTTTGTTCTGGGTCATTTAATTTTGTAACCCTCTCAACGCGAATTAAACTTGCTCTTGACCAAACTTATTCAGTTTTCATATATCCTTAAATTATTCTAGTTTCTATATAAATAACAATTACCTACGCATTTGAGAGGTAATAATGAGACTGGGCTGAACATGTTTGTGCATGCATGAGGGACTGTTGGCAGTCCCGCTAACAGTCCCTATGAGCTCAAGATTAATAAATTTTGGTATTAGACAGAGAGAGACGAGACGTAGCTGATATTAAGGTCGATTAAAAAATAAACTGGCACTCCGGGAGTGCCGACAGAAGTGAAAACTATTTTTTTTTATTTGATTATAGCAGGAACATTATTTGTTTTTTTTCGATTCGATAAGTTGCGACATAAATATATCTATCATATGTTGTGCGTATATACAAAATATATGTTTATTTTATATATAGTTATATTATCAATGTATTTCAACCCAAACTCATCTCTAGTGTATACGGGGCCAATATTTGTAGATATTTATATACAGAGGTGTCGGTAACGGTAGCAGTGTCGCGAGTTCAATGGTTTTTTCCCATCTAAAAAAATACATTCTTTTGTTTGTTGTTCAAAAATGCCCAACGCGCCTAAAGAAGCTTTCACTTAAAAAAATACATAATATTCAAATCATTACGTATTACTATGAAATTTTTGATAATAAGTTCGTACGTCTATGCAGCTCAAGTTTATTGAGCGCTATGACATATATTAAGTAATGTCACAACTTTTGAATGGCATGGTGTCAAACGAAAAATAATGGTACTTTGTGACATCGGGGCCACAATATGTTTTTTGCTAAGTTACATATTTTTGCTGGGTTGGAGTTTGGGTATTTTATCCATGACCTCCAATATGTAAGTAACATCATAAATCCAGATAATTTTATTATTACGCATGAATAAATTTATAACAATGAATTCAAAAACTTGATTGTATTTTATAACTTAAACTTAGTAAAAAAAGAACAACCTTTTCTATTAAATCAGAAATATAAAAAATATAAAAATATCTTATCATAATATAATCATATAATAATAAAACAATACTTATATGTGGATATCCTAATCACTCAATTAATCATATTTATAAAAAATAAATCGACTTAACTTTTTTCTGCCGAATTTTATTGCATATTAGTGATGTGCCGGATCGTTAGTAGATACGCGGATAAGAATGCGAATCCAGATTATTAGCGTCTAATTCAGCGAGCTCCAGTTTTTCCATTGGTTATTCTAATCCGGGTGACTTCAAAATAGTAGATTCCAACTGTTTCAACTTGCATGGCGTGTGTTTTTAAAAAAATATTTTAATATACATACACAACGATTGATTCTCGTTATAAAGACAGTCAACGATCATCTTATGACTGTTACTATATAAATATTTCATTTTAGCAAAATAAATTTTGAATGCCGAAAGTAAGAAATTCGTCAGATCCGACACATCACTATTTAGCATACATATAAAGTTGTACTTACAATACTAAATAGTGCGTTTATATATTTTTTAATAACTAATGTTTTCACCATTAGTCGTATTCTTACCTTAATAGTTTAAAAATACTTGTAAACCGGTCTATTTAAACAAAAAAATATATGAAATTTAACACCCTATCAAGGTCTACAACCAAAGGTGTACGCACATACTTATAAACGTTATATATTTTTAATTACACAACCGCTAAAATTAAAAAAAGACAAGCTGCATTAGATACCAATTTCGCAAACGCAGAAGCGGCTTACATAATAAATATGAACCTCCTGTTTATATTTAAAGCATGCCAGGACCATCACTTTCCTTGTTCCCAGACTTCTCAAAGAACATAAAATCCTGAAAACGGAAAATAACACATGATAGATAACTGATAACTTTAAACAATAACAACTCCTCGGTCTACATTTAACAAACATTATCCTTGTCTAAATAATACATTCTTACCAAAAATGACAATGAAATACTAATGATGAAAGGTTTGACTCATAGAGGGTAGAGAATGCCTAATGCATTAGTGGCCCCTATAAATCCCTCCTATTTTAGGCGCAAAATGGCACAATGTGTGGTTTTAGTTGATTCCGACACACCGTACCACCCCGAACTAAGGGGGGTGCCGGCCCGAGGAGGGATTAAAAAAACGTAATAACGCCTTCTTATGTACGTTATGACTAAGACCGTAGGAAAGCACTAAAAGGTATATTGTGGTCAGCGATAAGGAAGAATTCACACAAACAATTAGCTGAGGGAGGAAAAATACCCTTTAAAGGTTAAGGTAGAAGTAGCTATACATTCACTTAGGAAGAATAAGTTCTGTGAAATTCAACATGTGGTTGATAAATAAATACAATTCGTTAACTACCTCGTGTTTCATTCAAATAATTTGATATTTTCAACTATTTAATATTTATGTCAGATTACAATAATTATATTTTACTGCATATGTATATATCTAAGCAACAACCAGCCTTTTTTTACTTGAAGAAACCCGATCGGGCCGTCACCACACCGGGGGTTGCTCTGGGGCGGTGTGTAGCTATCTTAAATTAAGACATCCGGACCCTACCCTTAGAGTAAGTAGTCAGAGACCACCCGTCGGCGTGGTTTTTTTTTTGGAAACACTCCTGGCTGCTTCATCGCCGCAATAGGTGTCCCGACAGGAAATCCGAAGGGATTTTCCACCCATCATAAAAAAAAGGCCTTCGTTTAGGCGCAGAATGCCCAATTCGCAAAATGTAAGGTTCGCAGAATGTTCCGTTTGTACTATGTTCAGTTAGGAGAATGTAAAGATGGCAGAACCAATATAAGATGTTCGCAGCTAGCATACCCTACTTTTATTTAGCCTATATGGGATTAACTAAAATAACGCAAACAGTTCAATTCTGGTACTTGCCGGATGAATTTTGGATATTATGCAAACTTGACATATTGTGAATAGGACATTCTGTGACTTAACCAAGACCTTAATGTAGATCTGAACCCACTTTTTACATCAGTTGAAAAAGAAAGCAAAACTAACCTAAATCAATAACTCCAAAAATATAGTAAGTATTAAAGAATGAGGACTTACGATTAAGAAGCAAGCTCCAAGGAGTACAGCTTTTATTTTTACGTCCAGATCCATAGGGAAAGAAACGCCGAAGTAATCTGCATCTGTAAATGCTTCTCTTGCTAGACCAGACCACTGTTTTGTTATTAAGCCTACTTTTCGCTCGCCATCTGGAGCAAATACCTGAAACAAAAAATCAATGGTGTCTTAATAGGCTTAAAATAAATTGTTATAGATGTGTTGCCATATATAAATAGTTTCCTTTTTTTTTTTACCATGGACATGGATATATGGTGTAAATTGGTCCTAATTAGGACCACTGCGAGCAAGCGCACGTACTTATTAATACGAGAAAATTCATAAAATGCCTTCCTGTGTATTCTGAAAGAGCACAAATTACGACAAAAAGGTAAATTAAGATAAAAGAATATCATACCACAGGTAAGTGTATGTTTTATTCTAAACTGCATTAATAGATGTATGTGTAGTGTAGTGTTACGGAAGAAATTTTGTGCGTACAGTATGAATATAACGTATCTTCCTTAGAATATCATTGGGTGCACTTAAAAGGTAATAAATGATAGATAAATGAAATACCTACAAAATTTACAATCAACCAATTTACTCAGTAATATACACAAATATTCAATCATCATCATCATAAACTTACACACGCCTAAATAGATATACAGACCATATTTTGTCGCTTATAATTAAATACAATAATAATTTAAAGATAAAACCAAAGACACATCTGCCAATTCATGAAGTAAAAGCTTCTTTACTTACATTTATTTGGAAAGAATAACGGTTTGTAGCCATTTATGAATTCGAGAGAAAGCGCATTCCACAAGAGAGCAGATTGAACGAAGAATTAAGAGCCGATTAACTCAGCAGTGTGAGAAGGACAAAGTAGAAAGAGATTATTAGACGAACGGAGGATTCTGTTATGGTTATTGCATAAAAATAGGAATCGTAGCGTTAAATAAGTTGGAGGATGGTGTACAGAATTGTGAATGAGCACATCTGCGTGCGTGCATTTTCTGATAAGCAACTATCTAAGCTGAGAACGAAAAGTGGAGAACGGCAATATTTACGAAGATTAATGATAAATCAAATGCAGTTATTGATAAGATGTTCTAACTTATCGAGAAGTTTTGCATTGAGGTCACATCATAATATCAACTATTATATGATATTATGATGTGATGTGATTATATTAAACAATTATTACACGAGCGCCGTTTTAATTCATCAATCAAATCGTATGGGTAATGTTCTATCTGAAATAGACATACTTATTTGTTACCGAAGACCCAGAAAGATTAGTACCAAAACCCCAATAAGAACTTTTAGTAAATCGGTATCTCAAAGCAACCTTTTTCAACGTATTCGACATCTACATATATTAACCTTACGAAATACCGTAAAACTGTTATCTATCGCTGATCACTAATAATATCTATACGAGACTTAATCCAACGGTCTGTCATACTTTGTCCTATCTACTTATGTATTTTAGTTATCTCATACCCTAATCCATCCATCTACAATATACAATTTCTTTTGTATCCATGTCTAGCATAATTGACAAAGCATAAGTATGGTATCAAATAAAGTTCTAATATAAAGTTATGGAAGGCGAGAGTAATAATCGAATATAATGAATAGAATAAGAAACAAGTACTGAGCATGAGAATATGTAATACGAGGTTGAGAGTCACCGGGTCAATTGCCATTGCGTCGAGAATTAAGATTTTGATTCGGACCTAGAACAGTTACTTCTAATGTACAGATATTTACTGTAGCAGCTTTATATGTTCAGTGCAGTTAGCACTGTCACTTAGTTCCTCTTAGCATGCAACCAGTTTTAATATTTACTACTGTACTTGAATACCGGTTATTCATGATCTAGTAAAGGATAATAATATACATACATGAAATTCAACGTCACCACAAATAGAGTAAGTGCAGCAAGGTCCTTTAATTTTGAGCACAATATCTCCAGCGGCATTTTTGATCGAATAGCAAGGTTTGCATATGGACCATTCTTGTTCAATGGAGCCAATTACTGTTCCGGGAGGAGACGACACCTCCATACTTTGCAACCAGCAAGGACACCAACAGGAATCACACGCCAGAGGACGGTTTAGATGAATCACCTATAAAAAAAATCTTTTTACATTCAATAGTATAAAACAGTATTCAATTCCTTCCAGGAATGAAGTTAAAACGAAACAAAAGGTGCATCAGTCAAACAATTAGGTACTAATTACGTTTTAGAAAGTTTTTTTTTTATGAATCTTTGAATAAATATCTAATTTTACTTTTATAAATATTTTACATTATTTCATATGGTTACCTCCCTTCTTTTAAAATGGGATGTAATTTGTATTGATGGAATCAACGAAAGTTGATAAAAATATTTGTGGTATTCGGTAAAAAAATAAATTATAGTTATAAAATATAATTCAAAAAGAAAAATATTAATTATTAAGACTAAAAAGTAACAAGTAAGGCAAAAGACACTACCGTATTTTTAAGTATGGAAAAAGCCGTTAATCCTTATCTGGATAATGGAACAAATTATTGCATTATCATCGGTTCTCAATAAGTTTGCAGTCCCAATTTAATTCGACGTGTTGAAGTGGGGCAAAATCACGTTCGAAGATTCCCTTACATACATAGGTACATAAATATATACCAAGCTAATAAAAGCGTTTTAATAATGATGAATCTTTTGGCTTAGGTAATCTTCAGGGAAAGATAAACTATTTAGAGACTGTTATCACGAATGGCCTTCACATGGATTTCGGGTCGAAAAAATAATTAAGCTATATAGCTATTCCAATAGCATTCAGAGATACGGATAACGAGCATAAAAAATGAGTCATTACAAACAATTAGTTCCCCTATTGTCCCAATCCCACAGTTTTAATCTGCGATTACATCATGATCTTTAAATAGCTATTTGGGACATGGAGGGCTTCGACATTTTTATTAAGTAGGCGACCACTACTAGTATGATAATTAAAATACCTCATTTCTGAAGTTATCCATTATTTTCATGTCGAACGGGCGCATTGGTCCACAGCAGTTTCTGGTACAACAATCATTGTCCTCGACAGCAAAGTATACTTTCTGGCCAACAGAATTTTTAATGGTATATTTGTTATTTGTTTCAAAACCAACGAATGCTTCCAACAATTCAACTTTCTGATGAACTAGCAAGTGGTCAACCATAGTAAGGTATTCCAATCCTGGTGGACAGTTGCTGAGCCCTTGTGGAATAGCCATCCATCCGCCTGTAGAAAAGAAACAAAAGTTATGAAGATAATGTAAGTAAGTACAGCGTGCCTTTGGCATACAAACTGTCATACTTACACTATACAACCATTTTGATTATGTTTTGTACATGATACAGTATGTTACACATATATACATGTATACAACATAAATATAATGTACATTAAATAAATATATAACATTAAAAGACAGGATTAGTATACACCCTCCACCAAAGATAAATCTGTAGGTAAATTCAACCTTTTTTCTTCGTCCGATAAAAACTTTTCATATCCAGTGGAATGGGATTTAAAAATGCGTTTACAAATTCTATTACAACTTCGCTTAGCACTAGATACACTTAAAGTTTCAAAATAAATGCGCTGCTCTTTTAAATTTGATACTTTAACCATTGTTTTATGTACATAACATTTAAGTTTTAACCACTTTTGATAATGTTTATGATTGTCGCCCGACAGGTTCGAGAAAGGTTCAAAATTAGATTTAGAATCTGTATGCATATCGAAACACAACACACAAGCAACACTATACGATCGGTAGACTGTCAGCAAACATATTGCAATTATAACACGATATCAATAGACTGTCAACGGCAATAAAGTGCAGTAAACATTCTTATCTAACTGAGTGTCAACAACTCTGTTTAAAGAACAAATAATACAAAGACAAAATACTTTGAGAAGAATGATTACTGTAACATGTAACTCCCCAAGTAATATAGAAAAAGTTAAATCGTCAAATACCCACTGACTCATTACATACTTACTATGTTTATATCTTAATCACAGCGGTAATTTTTCCCTTATAAAGACATCTACATCATCTACTTAACACCAATTAACGAGTAACTCTTGAACATTTAAATGTAATTGGCTTTCTTGGATATGCATATTTTATTGGTCACGTCTAGTCTAGATTCTTAGTTTCGCGGTATCTATGGAAAATCCTGAAAAGGTTAACAGGGAAAATGTCTTTTTTTGACTGGTAAAAAACGCCACAGTTACGTTAAACACTAAAATAGCTCAAAATGTGTTAAGAAGAACTTTCATATACATAGTACAACAGGAACACAAATTTAAACAGTGAGTATAATTCTTCAAATTATAGTTAAAATGGAGAATCTAATGTTTTATTTTTAAAATTCTCTAACAAAAGTTTTGGACCCGACGTTAAGGAGAACAGTATTTTGTCCTTTATTCTTCATAGTGATATATCGTAACCACAACGTTCTGGTCGCGATAGCCTGATACCCTTCAGCAGTTATGAAGGTGAAGAGAAGGCATCTATGAAAGAATCGAGTAAAACAGAGGGGTTCCGTTTCTTTCGTAAGGTCTATTATAAGGACGTATCCTTATTATGGACCTTACGATAGAAACAAAATATTTAAAATTTAATAGAATAAGTGACTATACAATTTATTATTATGTCTATGTTTTAGTATTAGGGGAGCCGTTTTAAATGCCGAATAGCATGACTGGTACTGACCATCCGCTAATCTATGACATTTCTAACAGACAACAGTAAACAGAACACAGACTTTGATTTTTGTATTGGCCCAGCTTTTTGGGACATTCAAGGTATAGCTTTATCCTTGATTGCCGCTCCCATAACATCCAAAATTACACGCGATGTAGTTCATAAAATATAAGCTTCAAACACGCTATGGGTATTTAACAAAATAAATTAATAATATACCTCTTTATTGTACATCAAAAACGTTACAAACACTAAGTCGTATCAAAAATTAATATGTCTATAATACAATTATTTTCTACTAGCTTTTGCCCGAGGGTCCACCCACGTGTATGTCGGTTATCGCGATAAAAAGTAGACCTCTCGGTAAAAAATGTCCTTTATTAAGAATCAAACTATCTCTATACCAAATTTCATTTAAATCGGTTCGGCGGTTATTGACAACAAATGTAAATACAAACTTCAACCCCCTTTTTATCCCCTTAAAAGATGGTTTTTGGGATAGAAACTATCCTATGTCCTTTCCTGGGACTCAAACCATCTCGATACCAAACTTCATCTAAATCGGTTCAGCGGTTTAACCTCGAGGAGGTAACAGACAGACAGACAGACAGACAGACACACTTTCGTATTTATAATATTACCGAGCAGACGGGCCACCTAATACTCGTACATGAGCCGGTCGCAAATCTTTAAGGATATCGACGATTCAAGTCACTCTTCTTTGGATACGGATATACGAACTTATTTTTACTTAATTCTGTTTTAGCCTATTTTAATTGTTTCTTATAATTAGTTTTTTTAATAGCATAAAATGCTAAGTAAATTTTTTGGTCACAAATACTAAATTATAGAGTAACGAATCCAACATAGTTAACATCAAAGTTATTATGAACCCTCAATTATACCTCTTTGATAAAAAAAATATTTCAGTAAAATTCTAATTTATTAATTTGTTATAGAAATTCCTAGGTTGACTGACGTCTTGGGGATTACAAAGAAATATTTCGCGTACAAAATCATTTTAGCAGCTTTTAGCGATAAAAATATAGGTTCAATTCTTTCAGAATAAACTATTTAAAACATTATGTTAATATAACAGTACATTACTTAGCAACTTTAAATATATTAAGAGGAATATTAAGAGGAAGCTCAGTAGAAGTTATAATTACAACCGATTTTTATTTAATAGTCAATCCAATACAACATACAAGTATATCGAAACTAACGTAAGCAACATCAAACAAATGCATTTAAAACGCAACAGGAAAAGTCGTATGGGTCATGTACTATCTTAAAATATAATTTACAATAAGTAATGAATAATCAAAAGCTCGGAGAGCAGAAGAATGTCAGTCAGTAAAAGAAGAAAACAAATTATTACATTGAAACAGTCGTTATGAAAGACTCACTAATATAGTAGTCATCATTATCATCAAGTTCATAGAGAACGTCTCTATGCCACCTTGAATAGGTTGTTGATCCCATCAATAGGCGTACCAAATCTTCGCTTTACAGGCCGTGATCTTCACTCCAGGAACAATTCGTTTTTCTTTGTTTTTTGCTTTTCCATAGCCATTTTATCTTGCCAACGATAGGAATCATGTCGGTCACCTTGACCCTCCTATGAATTTCGTTATACATTACTTAATCGACTCATTAATTACTGGTTTTATTATAATTTAAGAGAATCGCTTTAAGATGACCTGGTAAGTTCTTCATACATCTCAGTATTTTGCATTGTCAAATCTTTAATGTCTAAGTCCTAAGTAAACAACAATTACGAAGCCTATTACGTTCAACTTCAGAGTTTTTATTCTGAATAGCTATAAAATCTCAACATTTCTAACTTTTTGAAAAATGTAGAATGGTTATTATTAGTACAGAACATAGTATCTTTATTTTTTATTATTAGTAATATATATATTAGTATCTTAGTAGTTGTTTAGGCAGTCGCCACGCCGCTTACCACTACGCTGAGTGCTGTGGGTTCGATCCCCGCATGGGACCTCACTTTGTGATGTATATTAAATACTCGTAGTAATTTCCTTCATAGCGGTCTCGAAGTTTTGATTGATATATTGATTATGTTTTAAAAAAAATTAAAAGTATAAAAACGCTGATAACACTCCGTAATAATCATAAGTTTCTTCTTAGTACTTTATTATTATTTTAAAAGAAATATACCAAAACAAATGTTAGTTCACTAGTTCTAAGTAATTAGTTATAATAAAAGGGACTATTTTTGGATTTTAGGAATTGGTTTTCGAAATAAACTTATAAGTATTGATTGGGTGCTCTATATCCGCATTTAGATTCATAAACGGTCCATTATGCATGAGGATGAGGTAGGCTAGATGTGCCAGCCTTATTCTTTCAAAAGAACAAAAGCCTCTCGAGGCGTTTTGCATGGTTCAAGGAGTGTCTTTAACCAGGAGGATACTTGCTCTTTGCGTGGTCACTGGCCATATCCTCACACTCCAGAATAATGTGGTTTCTTCTGCATTGTGACATCCTGTACATATAGAGGGCTGTCTGTCGCATTACTAGTGAATAGCTGTTGATTTAGGGCCATAGTCCAGTAATGGTTTCTGCTGTTGAGACTGAGCAGTCTATAGGTTAAACATGGGGTAGGGGCAGTACGAGGCATGCCTTTTAAGTTTTGTCGTTTGAAAAAAAAAAAACAACTTGAACCTTATAGTATTCACCACGTAGCTTAATACACTTTTCCATTCGCTCAAACCCGTTATTATAACATTTATTCCACTCTAAAGTGGGGGTGTTCAAAATGGCTCACTTGAAGGCGTCGACTGCTTCTTCACCGGACTGGAACCTTTGACCACGAAGACTTTTCTTAATTTTAGGAAATGTAAAGGAATCTTTAGGGCTTAGGTGAGGACTGTATGGAGGATGGTCAAGAATTTCTACTTTTTCCTGCTTCAAATACTCAATAGTTTGACGAGCGCTGTGTGAGCTTGAGTTGTCGTGGTGCAGGATGATGCGTGCTTTGAGTTAGATTTTCGAAGTTCGACGATGACTTGTGGTAAACAAACTGTGTTATACCACTCTGCGATAACAGTTCTACGATCTTCAAGTGCAATAGTCGCAACATGGCCAGTTTTTCCAACGAACGTGGCCACCATCTTCTTTGAAGTGCTTCGGGAACGAACAACTTTAGTCGGCGTTGGCTCGTCTTCAAAGACTAGATTGTCGATTGTTGTTTGGAAACAGGATCGTAGGCATAGATCCAAGATTCGTCACCACTGATGATGTCGTAGAGGTGATTTGACTCTCCTCGGTTGAACCTTTGCAGAGTTTTCTTACACCATCTGACGCGGGCCGCCTTGTGATCGTCGGAAAGCAGATGCGGTATCCAACGGCTAACTAGCTTTCTCACACCAAGCGCTTCATGCAAGATCTTCTGAATGGTTGTCCCTGAGATGCCTAATAGAGCCTCTATTTCTCGTCACATCGAGAATTAGTTGTCTCACAGCAATGATGTTATCTTCAGTGAAGACAGATTTTGGGCGTCCTTCGCGAGATTTGTCACTAACACTAGTATGTCCACGCTGGAATTCTAAATACCAGCGTTCGACAGTCCGCAGACATAGGGCTTCATCACTGAACACAGATGTTAGTTCTTCAAAACACTGAAGCCGTGTCAGGCCTTTTTTAAAGTTGTAGAAAATTATTGCACGAACATTTTCCTTAGAAAGATTCATTTTCGTAAGTAACCGACAGATTCCAATCGACGCTGTAACTAATCAATAACATTAATCCTAATACTTTCAACTGTTTTGAGATTCAAAATTTAAACACATTCGAATATAGAACAGTTCCAGATTCAAAATTGCCGGGAAATATAAGAACAGAACTTAAAAGGCATGCATAGTATTGTGGTTGGGCCCGCTACAGACATTAGAGAACACTTTTTTGACAGGTCATCTGTGGAGTGTTTCTATATGAATTGGTATAGTAGGTATTGCCCTATAATTGATTGCAGGAGTTCCTTATGTGTTGTGACTAACTGCTGTGTGGCTAACTGCTCCAATTTTGAATGGCGTTCAAAAATAAGGCCAAAGTTTAAGGTTGTACAGTTGTACAATGTTTTTAGTTTAGTCATGTTGTTGGACAGTATACAGATGTTAAGTTGCTTGAGTTGGTCACTGTGGCAGTGTTGGTTGTTGCAACACTACATTGGGAAATTTACCCGTGTTGGAGTAGTGCCAATGAAAAATTCATGTTTAGGTCATGTGAGAACACTCCAGTAACAGTAACTGAACACATCTTGGGACCGTCTATATAGCTTTGGATTTGAGGTATGTCAGATTAATCTCGGTATCATTCACCAAAATAAATCCAAACTTATATTATAAATGTGAAAGTGAGTTTCATTGTTTGTTTGTTACACTCTCACACCTAAAACACTTAACCACTTTTAAAAAGTCTTTCACTAATGGAAAGCTGCATCATCATCAGCAAGTAACATAGGCTACTTTTCAGTGCGATAAGCGACATACACGCAGGCGGCGCCACAGGCAAAACCTGAATCAGCAACAACCCTGATCCATACTACAGATTATGAAATTTTTTTGTAGTCAATCAATCGCTACAAAAATCATAGTGATGATCTAGGAAACTAATATTGATAACAAAAATTACTAAATTCTTAAAAAAATTAAATTGTAAAATTTTTTTAAATAAACTGTATAAAAAAATTATGGACAACATTTAAAAAATACTAAGACAGCCAATTAAGAAAATTTACTTTGTGATAAGATAACACATAATCATTGAATATGTAGGCATAATACAGATAATCATTATGATGATGAATCATCCTTTTATATAATTTGATTAGCTTTTGCTAACTGACATACACTCAGGCGGAGCTGCGGCAATGTCAGTTATCGTGGTAAATAGTAGCCTATATTCTTCCTCAAGAATCAAACTATGTTCATGAAATTTCATCTAAATCAGTTCAGCAGTTGTTGATTCCACATACAAACTTTACACCCCCTTAAAGGATTATTTTGGGGAAAAAATTTCTTATGTCGTTTCCCAGGACTTATCTCTTTATCAAATTTCACCTAAATCGGTTTAATGGTTCCAGCATGAAGAGGTAACAGACAGACACACTTTAGCATTTATAATATTAGTATGGACAGTATGGATAAAGTGTAACAAATAGTTTTTTATGGTATAGGGGTAAACAAGCTGCTGAGTCACGTAATGGTATAAGTGTGTTGTCACCTTTTGAGTGCCCTGTAGAGTTAGGTTACCTCACTCAGGAGATGAAAATCAGTCTCTGATCGCATGATATAGGGCTCTAGTAGGGCAGGCCTATATGTATAGAAGAAATGCTCACTCAAACTTATATTATGAGAACTGTCCCTAAGAGTTATGTGTTTGTGTATATACATAATGTATTTATATCATAGATAATATAATACTAACTTAAAAAGATGTATTTTTTCATTATATTCATTCGTTCATTCATATATTTTGTATCCCAGCATTTGACACTTTCATATCTAGTTACTGTTGGTCTATTGGTTAGTGACCCTGACTGCTAAGCCGTGCTAAGAGGTTGTGGGTTCGATTCCCACCTAGGACAAATATTGTGTGATGAGCACAGTCATTTTTTCTGTGTCTGGGTGTAATTTATCTATAATATGTATTTATTATTTAAAAATATATGAGTATGTGTTTATCAGTAGCCTGGCAACCATAGCACCGGCTCTGTCTAGTTTGGGATCCGACGGTTATGTGTTGAATGTGTGAGATATATTATTATAGACTATTCACCTAGGCTCTAGACCATTTTGTTATAGATTATTCTTATGTCCCAGTTTCTTGTAAATTGGATTTGGAAGTGAATTGGATTTAAAAATCTGTTTTATTTTAGAAGACCATTTCAGAAATTACTTGTTTAGAAAATCTTTTTTAATTTAACATCTATTATTAGTTGTCTAAATTTCTTAGTGTTATTAATAAAAATAAAAAGTGGCTTGGCTTATTGCTTATTCAAATAACACAGCAGTTAAATAGTATTGTTAACATACATACCTGGTGGTACCTGGGGTCCAGGTTGTTGCACCACTGGTCCATAACCAGGTTGGGGGTATCCAGGCTGAGGATGTGGATAACCTGCTGGAGGATGTGGGTATCCTGGCTGCATGCCAGGCTGAAAACCAGGTTGAAATCCAGTTTGCATTCCAGGTAGTGGTTGAGCTCCAGGTGGTAGCGGAGGTCCAGGATAACCACCTTGAGCACTCATAGGATAACTCTCAGTCTTATTGTTTTCAGGCGGAGGACCATAACCCTGGCTTGGTGGAAAATTCGGAGAATACGGAGTATTTTGATGCGACATTTTATTCTACAAATAAAACACCTCTATAATCCCAATATATCTATTATTAATCATTCGTCAAGGATAGAAATAGAAGTAATTGAAAACTGAACTTAAGAGTATTATACTATTCTATAATAAGCAATATTGGCGCACTGAAAATAGTAGCCAATCGGGTCGGTAGGTTGCCGAAAATTCAGACACTTTTTAAAAGACTTCATATACTCAACAACACTATATTCAACTAGTAAGAAAAAAAACGCTTGTAAATAAGAAAAATATCTCTAGAAATTTAAAAATTCAACTATTTACCTGAACTACTCCCAAATTACAATATATTTACTTGAACTAGACTCGCAGTTGTGCGGTGCACTTGTCCGGTTGTCCGAATTCCGAATTGGGGATGGCGATCTGAAATCGATTAATCTAAGAATCGATTCCGCGAGCCGAAAAAAATCATTTTTTTTAATTGAAATATGACACTGAATCGATTCAGTGGGTCGATATTTCAACCTAGAAAATCAACTTTCCATTTTTTCTGTTTTGATAAAAACAAAAAAGCTGTCAACCTCTATAAGTTAACGTAGCGTACCATAATATTAAAATCTTATGAACAGACTTTTATGGCTATCTTTGTATACCTTTCTATTCTCAACGTTTCTAAATAACAAGTATGTTGCTAATGGCAGTTAAGTTACTTTTTTAAATACCTTGAATAAAGCCGACAAAATTCCCGTTTCATTTCAATTCCGTTGTTTTCTTCAATGTTTCATTTAAAAGTGTGAAGAAAATTTGACAGTAAGATATATAATATTTCATGTATAAACTTGAAGAATATGATTAAAACGGGTAACATTACTTTTTTCTTCAAATACTTAGTATATTTTACTTAGGTTAGGATATCTATCTGCTGTCTCCTTCAGCAAGCAAGTTATTGCAATAGAGACGGCGGAGCAGGGCCGAGAGAGATTTAGAACTCTCCCGTTCCGTCAGGCCCGGGAACGGGCCAGGCACCGGAGATCTCAAAACGGACTCCGTCCTTTGTTAGCGCAGACCTGGTTGTGACAGGTGAGGCCATATGTCCCGTGTGGAGCGCGCACATAGAAAAGTAGCTCGTAAAAGCGCTGCAGAAGGGGAACACCATGGTTCCCACACACGAGGGGATCATATACAAGGTGTAGATGACCTGGTTTACATTGGAGTTCCATTGATTTCCTTCCTAGGATACACCTGGTTCCCCGGCTACTGGTAGCCGAGATGGCGTGCGGTTTGTGGTCGGTTCATGTCCGATATAAACACCGGTGGGTGGTATCCAACGGGATTTCAGACAAAGAAAAAAAAAGGTTAGGATATGTATGCTTTAACGCTTTCCAAAATAATAGGCTAGACGTAGCACCGGCCCCACTGTTGTAACTGCATCTAGTTGTCAGTTGCATAAATAGTTGTATTAATTTACGTGCTAGTTGTGATGCAGTTTGTTTTGATAAATGATTGATTTTGGGAGTTCCGGCATCATTTCAAAAAATCAAGGAACAAAAGAGAAATACCGTGTTTATGAATAACTGTTTTAAAATTGCTAATAAAAAAGATGCCATTTTAAACTATAAAAAAGCAGATTATTTTGTATTCAGCCCATTCATTTGACCGATCTCGAATTTAGGTTCCACAACTCCATAAGACCACATTACCAACCCTTAAATGACAAGTACTTTTCCAAGTGTCCCAGTATATAGCAAAGCTTGTTAACATTATGCAGAAGACACTCGTGACTGACGCTAAATACCAAGCTAGAAGTGGTTTATGTGCCAATGAAATAATTTGGTAACCAGTAAATGATTTACACCCTCGCGACTGGTGGAAAGGATTTTATCACTCTACACAACTTTCATATGTTGCCATAAGATTATTGAGTAAAGTTTTGGTTAACCGCATACAAGAGATTGAAATCACCTTCTTCCAGAGCGACTGAATAAACTCGTTAACATTCGATCAAATTTACATTTATGCAAACTAAAAAAGAAACTTTCGAATTCGAACCTGGCGAAGCTGATGATTCTTAAGACAGTGAAATTGAGATTGGCCGAGGAGAGCTAGATGGATCTCTTATTTTTTACCTATTTGTTATATTTCACCTATTAAAAACATTTCAATTAAACTTGTTTTTTTTTTCAAAATATCAAGTGAAAAATTCGAACGAATCCTGTTTTCTTCTAAGGTATTCATTCTGTATTTTTTCTGAGTAACACACGAAAAAACGGAAAAATACAATGGCAAAAAACAAATTGTTTTTTTCGGCATTTTCAACGCTACCTGCTACACCATAACTTAAGTATGTAGGTATACCTACCTATACTTATTTATTATATTATATTACACACTCAAGATTAGAAGACATCATTAACACAATGACGTCCGTTCTACTGGCGCATGAAAGAGACAACATTGTATTTTCAAGGCCGTCGCGCTGGTGCCGACGGTGTCAACAAGTGCTGAATCAAATTGATTATTAATATCGTTTGAAAAAAAAAATATATATTTACCAACACAGAAAATGTTTATTTATCAATAGAGTTTTTATAACTAAGGTAGGTAATACCTAAGCTTGGTCGGACGGACCAAACAATGAAACTCTTCAGCTTTATAATATTAGTATAGATAAGAGATCGGTTATTGTGGTCCCTTTCTTGTTTCCCATAAAACGGACTTATTAAAAAAACACACTATAAATACAGACACGAAAAGAAATAGATTTTTAGGAGATCGATCTTTTATTCCTCGTTTTGTTTGTGAGTCGATTCATTAGCCTGCGATTTGAATCGATCTCAAAATCGATTCTTTTCGGAATGAATCGCCATTCCTATTCCGAATTTTTTATTTGTTACAATTTAGAGGCGCTCCACTGCCAATTAACATCGTTATCGAAACATCGGTGTTGGCCAAGACATCGGCTTTATATTCCCTGAAATATCAATAAATCGATTTAAATTTGAACAAAAAACAGCGTGAGGGGTCTATGGACCCCGGTCGGAACGAAGTTCCGCAACAAGTGTCGGAAAAAAGTCTCGTTACACATTTTTTGGTGTCGCTCCCATCCGCTCATAATGCGTGATAAGGAACTTCGTTGGCGCGTCAACGTTTTTCATATTTCATATATATGTAGCAAACGTCTACCAAAAATCGAAAGGAATTACGTTTTGACCGGTTCTGACCTAGACCCTTCACACCGTTTTTTTTTACAGAAAATACCACATTTATTGGCAGTGGATTTACGATGGCATTTAAAATTCGAAAAAAATAATTGCGGACATTGCCGGAGAATTGCCCAACTTAAGTGGCAGTCAGCTGGGTACATTGCTCGCAGAAAAAATGGCCGATGGTGCCAAAAAGTTCTGGAATGGCGACCACGCACTTTAAGACGGAACGTGGGTAGGCCCACAAGGTGCAACAACAAGGTGTGATGAAGGTTGTGGGAAGCCGTTGGATGCGGGCAGCACAGGAACGGTTGTTGTGGAGAGCCTTGGAGGAGGCCTATGTCCAGCAGTAGACGTCTTTCGGCTGAAATGATGATAGTGATGAAAAATAGTCTTTAAGCTGAGACCTTTCTTTTATGAACCGATTTTATGTCTTTTATAAGTAATGTTTTAAATAGTTTGTTTTAAGTAAAAAAAAAATATAACTTTAAAGACCGTTTTATTAAAAATTCAAAACTTACTTCCGAACGAGAGACACAAACACTCTTGATCCATTGCCGAACGGAATCAATGTTGACAACTAACAGAATAAAGTTGTTTCCGGTAATGTTACTATATAATAAAAATAGCCTCAAAATTGGAATGTTTATTCACAAGAATGAAGTCATTCATCAAACTTTTCAAATGATTTTTAAATTTTAAAACTCAATAAAAATGCAAACGATTTCTCAATTTGTATTGGATTAAGTGATAAGGGATTATTAGAAATTACTGATAGACACAAAGTTTCAATTTAAAGAATTTTTAGCACATTAGACAGATGAATACAAAATGTAACGAAGACGTTACCTCTTTTGTAAGTATGTAACTATGACATAACATTTTTGTGCAACACTGTTTTTTCTAGTAGAAATAACATAAATTTTACCTATTCCCGGATGAAGTGGTATAGTTCCCGAACTATATCTACTTTTTAATTTTAAACGATAGGAACAAAATTATAGTAAGTTATACGTATTGAAATCTTTAAGATACATCCACTTTCACCATAAGACATTGTATTTATTACACCTTTTAAGTGCTTTTACCAGCTACTGATTTTTAAGATTCTTCTACTAAAGTGTAAACGAAATTAAAACTAACACAACATTATAACTACAACCATTTTAGTTAAGTGTTAAACTGTTAAAAACTGATATATCAAAATGGTTTCGATTTATGATAAAAAATTATTTCTGATTTTCTGTTTCGGTAGACTTAAATAATACTTGATTTTAGGGTTTTGTTGTGCGTAATGAAGTTAAAATTTTTAAGTAGAAATAATTTTGTACATTATTAGTAGAAATTATAAAACGTTCTGGCAACTTTCGTTTCCGCTTAATACTTTCCATTCACCAATCAAACCATTGCAATAAGGTGCATTGACCAACCTGCTGCCGCTGCTGATTCTAGCCAGCAGGGAACAAGTTAGTTGGTAGATGTTTGCTTCCGCGTTTGTGTCTTTGAAGTAACCATCGCGATGCAGTCGGAGTTGTTTTGCCATTCATCCAACTAAAATGGCGTCGCTGTTTATCAATTAGCTTGCTTTATGTGTACATTACTTAGTGAGTTCCGAGTGAGTCATAAACTAACAGCAATGACATTTTTATAGCACATAGTGAGAATACGTTTCTAAAACGTTGTGTAGACTGGCAAGTGTGATTTGAGGAACACAATAATGCGCGAATTCAAAGTGGTCGTGTTGGGCTCGGGTGGGGTCGGAAAGAGTGCTTTAACTGTGCAATTTGTGTCAGGATGTTTTATGGAAAAATATGACCCCACAATAGAAGATTTCTATAGGAAAGAAATAGAAGTGGACAATTCACCATGTGTTTTAGAAATTTTGGATACTGCCGGCACAGAACAGTTTGCTTCAATGCGAGACCTGTATATAAAGAATGGTCAAGGATTTGTCGTAGTGTATTCACTTACGAATCACCAAACGTTTCAAGATATCAAGCCAATGAAGGAATTGATAACGCGTGTAAAGGGTTCAGATCGTGTTCCTATTCTTTTGGTGGGCAACAAAGCAGACCTGGAGCATCAGCGCGAAGTGTCCCACACGGAAGGCTCGGCACTCGCGCAGATGTGGGGTTGCCCCTTTGTGGAGGCCTCCGCCAAAAGTCGCACCAATGTCAACGAGATGTTCGCTGAAATCGTACGTGAAATGAACGTTAGCCCCGAAAAAGAAAAGAAACCTTATTGTTGTTGTACAGTGCTTTAATATTTAGAGTGTAATGTGGCATTTATTTCTCGTAAGACTGCAAAGGCGAGGCGGAAATGTGCCTGTCTCAGCTCGTCGGCCGGCCGTCTCCAGTGGGGAGGCCGGCGACGACGCGCCGGCCCCGGCCGCTGGGACTCCGGCGGTCGCGATGCGCGTCATATCACATTGTTAATATCGTTGAAACATACCATTGTCCAATCAAGGTGCTTATATTTTCATACTTTATTACTGGTAGATACTCCCGCAGTAATGTTTATAACATGAACAAATATCTTTATTGGAGCATAAATAGCTACCCAACTAATTGAAAAACCAGCTTGATTTTGTTCATTATAATATTTAGACACTGGTAACAGCTGTGTCTGATGCATGTATGTATTGTAAAGTAATATTAGTCAACTTTGTATATAATTTCATGAGATTAATGATGTTGAGGGCAAGGACAATTTAGGAAATTAAAGAAAGCCATCCAATATGCAATAAACTAATGTTTGTGTAGCGCGGTGTGCGATGTTGAGTAAGAACTTACAACTAAGTGATGTCGCAGATTATATTTTATTGTGTAAATTATGTTTATATGGAAAATCAGTAATCAAAGAAAAGCAGTATGTTTTGTCAGTTGAGTGATTGTGTTTTAAGTCTACCAGGATTTGTGATAATACATATAACAAAATAACTATAATAAAAGTTTTAAGTGGGAGATTGAAAAGTGAAGTTTTATTCATCAGTCAATAAGGTAATAGTAAATATTCAATTTTTCATTAGTTCATCATATTAACAGTTTCCTGATAAATAATTTTGAGGTACCCTAATTAGTAGATTGAGAAAAACTGGTTGTTATAATTTCTCCATGAGTATCTATTGCTTGTATAGGTGGGAACTTACCAGAGAAGCCATAGATAGTAAATATAAAAAAAGTTATGAATTTTATTTGCAGTTTAAAAACAAGTCACATTGTGATGCATTTACAAAAACGTAGAATCTGTCTATTAATATGATCATAAAAAAATGTGTTGTTATAAAAAATATATCTTTACATTTAATACTATCAAAATAAAAACAATATTAATTTTGATATTTGTTTTGAATTTTACACATACTACTATGTTACTGTTGCATTATACATATTTTATTAGTCTTGAATATGGATATAACACTATTTATGCTAAGCATAGATGTATATATGTGTTAATATGCCATTTCATTTATTTGGGTTTCACTAATTAAAAATCAAACATTACTTGTAGCAAAATCAGCAACCTAAATTCAATTGTGCAATTCATGCAAAAGACTGCCCCGATGGCATAGTGGTGTAAGCGGTCGCCATGCCGCTCACTACTATGCTGAGTGTTGTGGGTCCGATCCCCACATGGAATGACACTTTGTGTGATCCACAAATTGTTGTTCTGGGTCTGGGTGTTCTTTGTGTCCGTTTCATGAATATACTCATAAAGCGGGAGTTGTCTTTTTAAAAAAAAACACAAGTCACACAAACCATCCTGTTATATGCTATAGTCTTTGTTATTGTCGTTTGACACTTTCCCTGCGGCCAAGACATGGCTACAAACATCTTGCTTGTAGCAGTTCTGGTTTGAAAAGTCAGTATTTTTAGCTCTGGTTTTTTAATGTCAACATAAGCTACAGGGTAGGTGGTAATAAAATTTTATATTGCACTGTTTCATCAGTGAATAACTGTTACAGCAGACATAAATTAACCATGCTTCAGATTACATATTTATAATAAGGAGGTACTTTGGTAATAGATATTTTCCATTAATTGCCCACTGCATACCAAGTTTGCTCTCAGCTGTATAGATCATATCACCTACATGGATTAAATTGCATGTGCAAATAGTATGACATGGCTGCTTATTGCTTACAATTTTGCAATTACAATAAATATGTGATATTCATAGCTGCTGGCTAACACGGGAAAAATACACCAATAAATTATTATCCTGGTAATTAACAGTACAAAACTTCCTCATTATGTTATAATTATCATGCAGTAAGTCTTTGTTACAATAAGATCAGTTTAATGTCTGTCATATCAAATTCTAATGGTGCTAATTGTTTGTTTTGTATCTGAAACAGACAGTTACTAGGTACTGGGACCTAAATAAAATATTGTTAACGGGCTTGCAACTTGGGCTATTGGATGATGTATCTTACTGTGTTACTTGCTATATGAAATAGTGATTGTGTTTATTATTTTAAGCATTGGTGTGGTTGATCGCAATGATTTCTTGTGGCAATCGCCAAATGGCACGGGTAAACGACTGGGGCGCGTGCTGTTAAACGGTAACCAGCTGTTGGAGCGTGACGTACGGTGCGCAACCATCCTTGTTTTTGCAATACTCATCCACCAGTTTTGTTACTGCTAAAATACTGTTACACATAATTTACTTTAAATCTTCTCTTTGTCAATCAATTTCAAAATCTGATTTAAGTTATTGGTTTTGTAGTTAATTTCAAATGACAAGTTTTTCTACGTAAAATGTATTTTATCGTATTGTTACTAAAAGAGGCACCTATTTAAATTATTTATCTTTAATTTTAATATTAGTCAACGCCGAATCATTCGATTATTAGGAATTTAAAGTTAAATGACCTACAGGTATAGAATGTCATCATGGTGCCGTATTTCATAAAAAAGTGACTCGTACTCATACCATTTGTTTAATATCTGTGACAATGCTAACTGAATGGTCTGGTGTGTGACCTCAGTTGCACAAAAGGATGTTCAACGTAAAAGACAATCTCTGTTGGAACGTTATTTTACCACAAAAATAAGATTGCCAAGGTTATTATGATAAAGGCAAAGGATTAATTGCGACAAAGAAGTTGATAATGATATTCTTGGACTGAGTTGCGTCACTGTTATTCGGTAGTCAACTAATTTGTTTGGTAGTGAGTGCCACAAACTGCATCTTAAACTGGCGAATTATCGAGTTTAAGGTCATACCTTGATTGCTTTAATCTTTTCGTGCGCTACTACTGCTTAGGTACCGTTATTGGCCCAGATAAGAGCTAATTCGCCCGAACGTTCACGGGATGGTGTTGTAATATAAAGTTTACTTCCCCTTGTATCAATTAGTTCTGAACCAATGAGTGCATCTAAGGCAGACATTATTTTCTATAAAAGTATATTATATAGGTCTACCTGCATCTGTGTTGCCGTCATAGACTAGTTACTTATGTTGATAACACTTTATCGTTAGAATTCCCTACAAATCTACTTTTGTTAAATAATTAAAGTAGGTAGCTATCTATCAATTAAGTAGCTATTCTCATTTATTAGTTTTATTATCATTCTTTAAGCTGTTATATTATTATTCTTTATCTATACAAATATTAAAAGTTGGTTTATTTATCTATGTGATCTTTCTAGCTGTATCACCGATTCTACCACATTGGCTAGTTTATTTAAAATGTTTATTCACACCACATCAACAGCCCTTAGTAGTCTACTGCTGGACATAGGCCTATCCTTAGTAAGGAGATTTTAGCCTACTATACCACGTTGGTTAAGGGTTAGTTTCAAGTTTGCCTTCTCTTGCTGTGCAGTGCTGTTGTAATGCAAAGTCCTTAGTCGGCTCTTACGACACCAACGGGATGAGTAGAGGTGGTGACACTCTGTATTCTTAATTCGTCACCACAAGGACGAAAGTTTATGGTTTGTATAAAATTATCCTGCTGCTGAAACTATATACGTGAAACTGAGGCGCTATTAGTGTGGTATATGTATGTATATATTATAATTTACGGTATTCATAATAAGGTTCTCCGTAGATAACAGGCTAGTCACGTTCAATAGATAAATTGTGCATCTGTGGATACAGTTCATCGTCGCTTTGCTCCGTGACGCAAGTAATGGACGCTCCGAGAAAATACGTAGGTGCCGTTGACTCGTTCTTTTATTACTGTTTAACGACTCCGCACCCGTGTATAGATAGGACTGGTTGAAAAGCTTTATATTAAAATCTACTTTGTTGAAAGAGATGATCACCGTACCTATTATCAACAATCGTGTATTTAGGAAGAAGAGTTATGATGTTTTTAAACGTGATTATACAACAATTTGATAAGGCGATAGGTGGACAGCTATTGTACATTCTTACTGTTTTATCTAAGAATTCTATAAAAGTATGTATTTGTAGATTTATTAAATAAACGTGTTAATACCAATTCTGTGACATCTTTATTAGAATGTAAACAATAAGCAATGCAGAATAAATAATAATACCGAGACTAATATCTCAGGTACTCGTTGAGTATTTCATATTGTTGCTAGACGAACAACGGGTAGGGATGCGGATCCACTATTGATTACGTTACACAAAGGGCAACATGCAGCTTCCCTTCGTCTAGTTTTGAAATGCACATCAGAATTTTGTTTTCTGTTCCTACGAGTGTGGCAATTTATAATCTTGTTTGTAATAGAAACTTGGCAGGAACCTGGGTGTGTATGTAAAAACATCAATATTTTCAAGAGCTTGGCACGTGTTAAGGAAGATTCGTGTAGAAAGTGACCTTATGAAGTTAACCCTGCTGATCTCCATGCTGCATGACGTTTCTTAAAAAGCAATTAAAAACTGGTTGGTATTGGTAAGTTGCAACCTCAAACGAAACAGATGTTTTTTTTTCTATAAATAAAGCACTAATGTGCCTGTAGAAGGGCAGCAGGCTCGCCAAATTTAATGGACCAAATTACAGCTGATCCAATGTGGGTGCGTCAAACACCTGCCTACCTCTTCTTAGATTTGTACAAGCACCGCAAGCACAGTAAACACATAGGCAGACGCGTGTCTGCCTATGTGTTTACTGTCAAATCTCAATTATGACAAACAACTTTTTAGGCTACTACCTACCTAAAAAAGTTACTCTAGAGTAGAATTACTTCACCCTAGATACCGCATCAAATAAAAACTATAAATTGCATCTGTCCAAATATTTAATCTCTCTTTCTCTAATACATTTCAATTGAATTGTATGAGAAAATATGATAGGTGGTTTAATTATATTAACATGGATTATGTTAATATAATAAAGCTTTACAACTTTTTCGTTTGTATCTGTCCTCGACACCAACTCAGTTCCATTCGAATAATCAATTTGTGTGTTGGATTGAGTATATACATTGCGGAAGTATGTTACATATACCAACCTAGCTTTAAAGCTGTAGGTAAACAATGTAAATTCAAGCTAGAACACTGAGAAGAGAAGAAGTGACTGTGAAAGGGGGTGAAACAGCGGGTGACGACTAGTGTGCTAGAAGTGTGAATGACTTCAAACAGCGACCACTATGTGCTGTGCCTTGCCAGAAATACTGTTTTCAAAATCTCTTCACCATGGTTTCAACATAGATCGACTTTGTATACATTTTGGTATCAGGATTTATTAACTTTGATTAAAGTCTGGAAACGCGATGAGCAAATGTAACAAACACACGCTGGAATAAGCAAGGTAACAGAATGAAACCATTCCCGCTCTATTTCCAGAGCGTTTCCAGAATGACTAAGGTCGCGAGGGTAATTTATGTCAAAAATAATTAAGTTGAAAACTGAATTATAAAAAAAAACCGACATATTATATATCACCATTATAGATGATTTGTTTCTCTTGTAAACCGCCGATTATCAGAATATTTTTTAATGGTCAAATTTGGACTGCATTAGAATAGGATTAATAAATTAGGTTTTATTGCAACTGTATAAATGTGAACATTAGATACCTTTACGTAACGTTAAATAAATAAAATGTTTTGCTTATGATAAATTAACTGCATTTAAATGTAATTAATCAGCTGGTAATGTACCGACTCAGTTCCTTGTATCCTCCTTCCTATATTAAAATGTTGAATCGCGAGTGAAGAATTAAAATGGTGTAATTGCAGGTACTAAATTTCGCCGCAAGTCATGATTTGTAACTCGTAAACTTGACAATATATTACGAGCTACATCTACGTGTACAAATGCGAGTTCTAGGCTTTCTTGTCAGAACTATGTACAAAAAAATATGAGACTAAGATATGTTACACTCGCAAATATTATTAACGAATACGTAACCAAAGAAAATTAGAATCTACTAGACCTAAATTACGAGAATAAGCAAATTTCATAAACCCTGGGTTTAAAAACTTAAACAATATATTTATGGTCCCAACAGCTTAAACTCCGTGTACAACCCATAGCGCACTGTATTTTTTTTTGTAGGTATATATTCACATGATGACCCTGTAAACATATTTCTTATAATAAATAATGAATGTCTCAAGTAATTACCATTGAAAAGAATTTGTTGAAAAGACCCTAATATGCATAACAATGTAGTGCACTTGAGCCTTAAACGGGTTTATTTCTTCGGATATAATTCATATTGGACACTCATGTACCTACAATAATATATACATGTCAACAACATTATCTTGTATTATGTAGGCATCAACACACGTTTTGGATCAAAGTCACCGTTTCCATAATATTTTATGCATGTAATCTTTATATGTTTTACCAGATCGGAGTTTTAGCGAAGAAGACCAGACTATGGGCAAGCCACGACGTGATTACACCGCCAAGTGGGGCTCTTGAGCGTATTCATTGCAAATACTTAACTTATAAAAAGTATTACGACGGAGCGAAGATATCACGTAAAATACACAAAAAAGGCATAGATTATTTGTGTGACACAATAATATATTCTAGTCTAAGTAAAAACATTCAGTCAAACCTTAATTGCTATGTGAAAAGTCTTAAAGAAGACCTTAGTCACAGTTATAAGAGAAAGAATTAGTATGAGCAAGGAAGCTCGCAGTGTATTGCTTCATAACAAATAAAACACAAAACAATGGATGTAAGGTCCTATAAGTAAACTACAATTAATAATATTTAAATAACTTATTAGATTAGGGATAATAATTTATTATTAGAAAGGCTTTATTAAGAATTTATTTAATTGTATAGTTATTTATAATAGTTAATTAATGATTTATTATAATCCCTAACTCATTTTAGTTAACAATCAGTTTAATTTTTACGTCTTCAACTAGGTATTTTTCATTTAAGGTTCGATTAATAAAAAGTGTTACAGGATATCGGCTTATATTATCTTGAATATGATTTTGGTTAACATGCAAGGTTAGCTTGGAATAGATGCGTCTGCGCAAGAGTCTCCCGCGCACCTCGCACGATGGTGCTGCGTGTGGGGCAGCTATAAATACACCATAATATAGCATCGCAACGTCCGTTCAATAAAAATATACTGTTACATTGAGTAATATAATTCAAGTGCTGCAAAAATACCACGAGTATGCTCGCACACAGAATCAAACCTCTTGAAATCGCTCTAATGTTGAAAGAATATTTGTGGTTAATTGTTATACATTGTGCAGTTTCGAATAATGGAACTGTCGTTAAAACTGCTTACATGCATACGACTACAGAATAGCTCTACGCTCTCTTTAGTTCTCATGGTTTTCATAGGTTCTCATGGAAACAAAATATAATGCGGGTGGTTTAATTATTACATTGAATGCTTTTAAGTTGGTATAAATAAGTACCATTAGTACTAGGTTCATTTTAATTGTGTTGTTACGCTCTACTTGTATTAATAAGGTAAATAAACATGACTTAAAGAAAATAAACTACATTATCGGTAAGTTTTCTTTCATACAATTCGACAACGTCTTCAGAAAATGCCTTTACAGGGCTCCGAACAATGTTCGGTGAACAATGTTCGGCGAACACGGTGTCTCTTATGCTATCATTTAGCCTATTCACAGACACTATGATTGCTTTATTGACAAACCCGTAATGTTTCTTAGAAACGCCTGGGACATGAAGAATAAGCAATTGCCGCCTTCGAATTATCTTTTAAGTTATAGTTTACACATGTCATAACATACATTTACCTACTCTCTAAAGATGCTAACTCAAGCATTGCATCTCCTAAGGTGGATCGATTGTTCTTGATATGTTGCAATATAGTCAAAACTATAATATATCGCGTCCGGTCGTTGTCACTATTCCAAAATACATAAAAAATAAGAAACAAACATTTACAAGTGTTTAAATAAAGTAAAAAAGTAAACAGATTAAAATATTATTAATTTCAAATACAGTGTTATATTGTAAATATATTTCTACTGGCTGACCCCGCAAACTTTTTGTCATATACATTATTTCAAAGAAAAATTGTCAAAATAAATAAATACTGGGTATGAAAAATAGATGTTGGCCGATTCTCAGACGTACCCGATATGCACACAAAATTTCACGAAAATCGGTCTAGCCGTTTCGGAGAACTACATTTTTTTTTAAATATTCAATTATAAGTTGATATGCCAAAGCGTCGACGTAAACTTTCTGTGTTTTATGCATTTAACATTAGGTTCAGTTTTGTGACATATTAACTGAATTGCAGGTATTTTATGTTGCAGTTACTAAGACATGGGTTAGAATAAATGTTGTTTATTTGTGGGCTGGTAGCATGAGCAACACGTGCTCAGCTTCCGAGTCGTCATCATAATAACAAAGTGAGAGACGTCCATTGTTTGGTCGCCTTTTCTGTCCAAAATGTAACCACGTGTTGAACAGGTTTTGGTATCCCCTACATAACATCCGTTTAAGCGTGCATCCTTTGGCCCATCTGTAACACGATCCCTTTCAAACTACACCAGTATCATAATGGATTCTTAGTACAATTTAATAAGTGACTCGTTATCTGCACCAAGTCTCATGAGGTTTTTAAGTTACATTTACTATTGTTATTGTAAGATAAAGTTTATATTATTGAGTTTATTCTTATACTTACTAATATTGTATATAAACCAAATAAACTCCGAGAAAGTAGTGCACCTACTATAGAACCTATTAACACCTTCAATGCTGCCTATATTTTAAGAAATAACCTTAGACAGTTAATAGATTTTTTGCCTTCTATACACGAGTATGTATGTCTCTAATCCATACTAATATTATAAAGCTGATTGGTTAAACGCGCTCAGGAACTACTGGTTCAAATTGCTAAATTCTTTGACTGCACGGATGGCGTAGTGGTTTAAGGGGTCGCCACGGCGCTTCTTACTACGCCGAGTGTTGTGGGGTTAAACCCCACATGAGACGACACTGTGTGATCCACAAATTGTTATTCTGAGTCTGGGTGTTCTTTGCGTTCTTTTCATGTGTGTTTGTAAAGTCCCCCGCGACACAGGATATATTCCTAATGCGGGAGTTGTCTTTTTTAAGAAAAAACAAAAAGTACTTTAACGTTTAGTTAAATTAACTTACTCAACTTACTACTAGAAAGCAGATTATCATTTATAAACATTAGGTGGGTATTCTTTTGTGGGTATGTAACAACAAATGTTAATTCAACTTTATTAACGCGAAAAAAAAAGATATAATTATAATTCTAGCATATTATTTATTACCACGCAACGTTGATTGTTTATTTTTTTAATGAAATTTGTTTTTATTCATCATCGAGACATCGAGAACGATCACCTTTTTTTTTTACTACAATACAAGCTACAAATATCCCTTATTATATTCTCAAAACTCAAATATATATATTTGAGTTTTATATATATATATATCTGTGCTCCGCCCTAATATTTTGAAATAACTTTTTTGTTTGTGCGTGGTCTGTTCATGTTCATTGTACGGTCCGTGAGCCATCACTAGATATTCAAGAAGAAAGCAACAGATATTTAAAAACAAAACCGACATTTTTTTCACATAAATGTAAGTTTCAATTAATTATATATTATTAGAAAAACGGTCATATACCGTATTTCTTAATTATTACTTAATTACCGTATCTCTTTATTAACATCGAAATAATA